GTTCCCAGGACGCTCACCCATTTTTGAAACGGAAGACTTAACACCCCAGCTTGCTGCCCCAAAAAGCCCTGGAATAGGGTTCCTAAGATACATCCAAGGATTCCGAGCCTATGGTTGAAGGTGTCCCATACCAAACAAGAATCCCGACAACCTTTGGCCCAAAGCTTATCAACCTGGTTGAATCATGCACCACCTACAGTAAGAGACTTTGGCATGATGATTCCCCTGTAAATATCAACAAACAATGGTTTCCGATAGCTCCAAAGTGCCGCACAAAAAAAACAAACGCAGCTTTGGGGCCCGGATCCCCACGAGACTTCGTTTGAGTTTCTCGCAACCAAGTCCTCGAGAGCTTCGCCGGCCAGGTGGGCGAACCACAGCGTCAGAGTGGCCGGGGCCAAGTGGGGCGTCCACAGGAAGGAAGCCACGTGCACCAGCCAAAAAGGCCAGCGCCCAGGCGAGCAGCACCAGACCTCGCCAAAAACCAGCCAAAAAAAAGAGGAAACGAGATGCTCCTCGCAACCCCCCGCGTTCTCTGTGTTTCTTGTTGTTTGGGGACAGTTAGATCTCCAAGAGGAACGAGTTGGCAGGGCAATGCTTCGTGCCCCCGGCATCCCCAAAGGGCCGTTCAAAAACGGGACCCGAGACCAGGTCCAAACCCGGGGAGAAACTTCCCACTGCGAGTCGCAGCCGTTTCCGGAAAATCGACTTCCACGCGCCACTTTTGCGTCGCATGGCACCGGCCAGTTCGGTGGGCCTTGGAAGCAAAAACCTGGTAAGTCGAGGCAAGCCAAATGGCCGGCAAGGCGGTCAGGGTGCCGGTGTTTCACAGACTGCAAAACCCCAACGGCATTTTGTCAGGCAAAACTGACAGGTGGAAGTCCAAAAAATCAAGAACCAACATGCAGTAGGCAAAGGTTTTGACATGTTTCTTTATCGGCCTTGCAGCTTTCTCCCTGCGAAACCAGGTCGAGTAGGGTGTCAGGTTTCTCCCTGCGAAACCAGGTCGAATAGGGTTTCCGGATTTTACCTTTACACATCAAACTCACTGTAACAGCCAAGGGGAAGCATTGGGATTTCTGCCTAGGGTCTGTGTGTGTGTTTGAGATACCCGATTGGGGTGGTTTTCAAGCCAAAACCACCCCCCCCCCCCCCATTTCTGACACAACAAAACAACCGCAAACTGGTTGAGCTTCTCTCTAAAAAAAACCAAAGGAAAAGCACCCAATTTCGGGGGGGGGGGGGCAAGTTGAGACAAACCCCCAGGGCCTAAAAGAAAAAACGCCCGAAAACCCCGCATCCGGAGGCGCCTTGGGGTTCAGCAGCAAGGCGCTGCGGTTCCCCAGGTGGCTTCGCTTCCAGCGGCACTGCTGGGCCAAATACTCCAGCCAGGTCTCCTCTGATCCGAACGTCGGAAGAAGCTCAACTTTGGTGGGAAAAGAGATGAACTGGTTGCTGAACATGTGGGCGCAAACATGTTCACACCTTCTGGTGAAAATGTGGGAAACACATTAACTTGCCTTTTGCTGAACGTGTTGGAAGAACTTTTCTTGTTGTCGCAAACGCGGGGAACCACGTTAACCTTTTGTTGAACATGCGGGAAACCACGGCAACTGTTTGTCACAGATGTGAGAAACACGTCAAAGATTTGTCGGAAAAATGTGAAAAGCACACATGCACTTGTAGCTGCGAATGTGAGAAAGCACATTAGCTGTTTGTTGAATGTATGGAAAACGTGCTAACTGCTTGTTGAACATGTGGGAAATAAGTTAACTTTTCTGTAGAGCATGTGTGCGTGAAAACAACTAACTGTTTGCAGAACGTGTGGGAGGACACACTAGCTTGTTGCTAAAGACGTGGAAAATCATCTCAGTGTGTTGGAGATGTGAGGAAACGCATTAATTGTTTGACTTGTTGTTGGCCATGCGGGGAACTTTTGCTGAAAATGTGAGAGAACACATAAACTTATTAAAACAAAGTCAAACCCAAAAAAAAAGGCTAACTTGTCGTTGCACACGTGGGGAAACACACATGGGCGTTCTGTTGAAGGCGTGGGGCAATACATAGAACTGTTTGTTGGCAATGTGAACATTTGGGAAAACGCGCCAACTGTCGTTGATGTGGCGACGCTTTAACTCTTTGCTGACCATGCGGGAAAACATGCTGACCGATTGTTGAAAATATGGGAAGCAGGAGAATCATTCGTCAGACATGTGTGAAAACGCACATGTTCAACCAACACGTTAAAGGTTAAAACCAAGTCTCGGGCATGAAGGAGCTGGCGTGGCACTGCGGCATGAAGCGGATGCCGTGCACCCCGTGCAATTTCTCCTGTGCGGACTGGCAAGCCGCAGGGGTGGTGCCGCTTTGGGATGCATCAGCCTCGCAAGGAGAAAACGAGAAAGTCAGAGTCATCTTGAGCGGGACAGCTTTGCCATTCTAAGAGGTATCCCACACGTTCAGGGGCGCGTACATGTTTGAGTTTGGAACATGCAGCCAAGACCACTCAGTACACTTTCGGAGCCCCCGACCCACGAAGAGGTCGGAAAACGGCATGAGGGTCCCACAGGGGCCTTGACTTCTCGACAACTGAGCGCACGTCAGGCAAACCTGAGGCTTCAGACTTCAAGCTCGCTTCACTTCCACTTGAAAATCGGAAAAAAAAAAAGAAAAAGAAAAAAAAACAGCCATGGCGCGCACGGCAGGGTGAAGCATCCAGTAAAATCAAGCCGCGGGAAACCTGATCACGCAAATCTTGAGGGAAATAGAAAGGGCTGGCAGCTCCGCACAGAGGGAAAGCAAGTTGCCGATGTCTATTTGTTCGTCTTTGTTCACTGAAACTGTTTTCCAAAAAGACTAGGAAGCCCAAGGGTCCTGGACGTGCTCGTGGACGAGGTTCGTCATGAAACTGTCCTCAGGTGCGTGACTGAAAAAAGGAGACCTTATCTGGTGGGGTCGTTGTTGGGATTTCTTCTGCCGGCACCCTTCTCAAAGGTGCCCCTTCGCCGCTCAGCAGCTATCATTCAGTTGAACAAAGGACCTGGAAATAAAAGGTTAACCTTTTGGGGCCGTGATCAAACATGACAAAAAAGAAAACTAACAGGGCACGTCAGGTTGGGCAAGTGAGGTCATGAAAGAATCTCAAAAGAACCTTCACGTGCCCCCTATATAATCCTTCTTTCGCTCACCTTCCCCCCAGTTGGTGGTGTGGCCTTGCGGTTTAGAAGTTAAGGGGTGGTTTCCCATTTCTACCAGGGGTTCAAATCCACAAACCAATCCAAACCACCAAAGGTGAACCTGATTTGGTGAGCTCGCGAGCTCACGGACTCCGAACCACAGAAATGTATTTTGTTTCCTTGTTGGACTCCGGGTGTGTGAGGTGAGGCATGCCCATTATTTTTTCCTTGATGGGCGCGATGGAAATTTGGCAAACCGAAAGGAAAACCGCAAGTTGGTGGGTCTGCCTATTTTGACACACCCCTGTGCCTTCAACAAAGCAGGCCCTGTCCTCCCCCATCTCGATCCGCATGTTGTCCATCATGGAGTCCTCCCGCACAGCCCGGCAGAAGTGGTCCTGAGGACAGGCTTAGGTTTCCCATCTCCCTAAAGCAGTTGGGTAAGCGGCAATTTAGCTGGGACAGATTCTAAAGCTTTGGGTAAGATCCCAAGGGACAGATTGCAGTTGGGAGAAAGAAGAATCAGAAGCAATTTAGCCCTAAGGCTAAAGCCTTGAGGGTAACAATCTAGGGTATGTCTCATGATCCAACATGCCTCCCTGGACCAACCTTTTCATTGTTGAGAAAGGCGCCAACCAGTGCCCAGCTCTAGCTGTTCACCCTGGAGTTCAATGCCACCTTCATGGCTGGGAAAAACGGCTGACCCGAGCCTATATCTTCCAAAAAGGGCCTTCATTACATCCTACTGCCCGGGACACCGAATCTCCGGCAAGTAGTGAAGCCTTTGGTTTTGAGCAGCGTCCAAGAAAGAACAGCACCCTCACAATAAGCTTCTGTCTGAATCTGGGTGGAAAGTGCATAGCCCGTTCTGTGGTACTGCAGCAGAGTTCGCATGAGTGACTGCGCCTGGCGCCATCGCTCGATCTTCCACTGCATTTGACTACCACTGCAGACACCCAACTTACTTCGCCTTTTGGCTGAGCCGGCCGTCCTGAATGGCCTGCACGGCCTCCATGGAGTACAGGGCGCAGGATCCGTTGAGCGGGGCCTGGAAGCGGAACAAGCTCTGGCCCAGCCACAGCACTCGCTGGGAGGCCCAGTCCCGCACCAGCTGGACCAACCTCACGGCTGGAGAACCAGATGTGCTTGCCTTTTTTTCCATTTCGCCATTTCCCGGGGGGGCGGGGGGGGGTTGAGTTCCTGGATAGCCAAATTTTGGCTATGACCAAAACGGATATTGAAGGGAACAGGGGGCAAACCAACTGAAGAAGCATGGTGGACTACCCGCTATTCTTTAGGCAACCTCTTTTTGATTTCGGAAAGAAAATGGACTAATGGGCGTGCGTGTCTCAAAATCTTCAGCTGGTTCACCGACAGGCCCCCCCTCTTTCCTACTTGCACTTAATCATTTTCACGGGTGCTTGCATCTTGTATAGTGGCTTCCCAAAAGGAAGGCGGGCAAAAAGAATGGAGATGAGAAAGGTCCGCCTTAAAAACCGCCCCCATTGCCCTGGCTTTTCGGCCCATTGAGGTCAGGAAAACAAAGGGGGGGGGGGGGGGAAACGTGAAAAATGCAAAGACTCTGCTTGAAAGAGCCCAGAAAAGTTTACCCACCTTAGTGCTTGCCCTTGGGTTCAGCCTCACACATGAAAACCTTGCGCAAACCCGCCAATTTCAATTTATATATATATATATAATATTAAATATATATATATATATATATTATGTTGTTGGGGGGAAAGGGGGGGCCCCCCTCCTTTTAAGACCGCCAAAAAATAAACTGGAAACGCAAAACTGGCACCCAAACCCAAACCCGTGTCGCGTCCCAGGCGCAGGCAGAAGCTGGTCCGCTTCTCCGCCAGCATGAAGGGCCCGCAGGCCGCCAGCTTCTGCTGCCGCAGGCAACGGAAGAGCTCCGGCACGTGCAGAGCCTTCACCCGGCAGTCGCCGTCCAAGAGCAGCAGCGCTTGAGGCCCTGAAGCGGAAGCTCAATGGGAGAAAAACAAATCATAGTCAGTGGAAGACCACTCTAATGGAAAACGCCTCTCGTTCAAAATGGGAAAAACCATATGAACTCCTGGAAGGAGACCCACGAACTCTTAAGCAAAACTCGCTTGGAAATTCGCTTGGCCCTGGAAAAACCAAGGCACGGCTTTCCGGTGTTCAGTGTGTTGTTCCAGGGTACCCCCTTTCAGGATTGACTTTCTGCAAGGAAACCACCCATCAGAGTCCCCCCTTTTGTAGGCGGCCAACCTTGAAGTTGAAACTTGGCTTCGGATCTGCATTCGCTCCCTTTTTGCGCGCATCATTTACATGGAGATGTGAGTCCACCATCAACAGGACGGTGATTGTCAAAGCCAGCATCCAGCAATGATCAGCAATGTGCAACGGCAGGTCAAGCTGGATGGGTGCCAAGGCACCCATGGAACCCGAAGGTACCACGCCCATTTCCCAACTTCTCATGGAAACCTTCGCACCCTCCCCGCCCTCAGGCTGCAAACCCCTCCCCCACCCGCCCCCCACGAAATGGCGAAAAAGCCACCGACAGCCGCCAGAATTCGGAAACCCAACTCCGGACACTCTGGCCGACTCTCCCGAAGGAAACGAAGTGTCTTGCCGAAAACCCGTGTGAGCGCAGCCACTGGGGAAGTGGGGCAGAGGGGGGGTTGAACAGACCCCCAGCTTCATTCATCAAATGTCTTCCAAACACAAAAGGATGCCACCCAACCCCCAACTGAGCAGCTCGCGCCAACCCTATTGACGTTTGGACCCAACGCGGATAACAAAGGATGTGCAGAGGGATTGCCTTTTCACCCCACTTAAACCAGTCGTTCGAACCTCATTGGGGCCCATCGGGGTCTTGTGCGCGATGGCGTCTTGCCCTGACCCAAATCGGATCCCCGGATCGCCTGCAGAACGGCCGCTCTCCAGGTCACTTCCTGAACTCAGCAGAGACATGCACAGCGCCTGGCTGGCGCGCTTGGACCGCGCACAGCTCCTCGAGGCCCAAAGGCTCGACTCGAAAAAAGGAGGACAAAAACAGCGGAGGGACGAAACCCGGTCGCACCCTGTAAATACCAACAAACCGTGGTTTCCATGGTTTTAAAGTGGTGCAGGGCTTCGTCCATTCAGTATGGCCCGGCGGGGTGGCCCCGCAAAAGAAGGGAAACTGAATGAAAGCGCCTGAAAAAACGGCCCCCGAACGACAAAACGTTTTTTGGGGGCAAAAAACATTTGGCCTCGTGAAAAGACGGCCAGGCAATCAGTTGCCCAACATCACCGCCAAGGCACGTCTTGATGTACAGCTCAAAGGGAACGTCGCGGCCACTGGTTGAGAGCTCCCCCTGCACCCGCACGCAGCCGTGGACACGCTCAGGATTCCTCAGCAGGGCCGAATGTTCTTTAATGCCTGGGCAAAACTACTAGAATGGTTGTCAAACCAGTTCGGTGCAAGGTAGAGGCTTTTTTTTGATACAACTAGGTGTTTGGCCCTCAGCATGGCAACATCCCCAGCATCCCCAGCATCACTTGGACCTGGGGTTGCCTATTGACTCTGATTGGGTGGCAGCGAAGGGCTGACATCCAGGTTGCTATTTGGCCAGGCTTGACTTTGAATGGGTTTGGGTTGGCTTGGGGGCTGATTTGTGTTGGGTGTCGCGCTGGTTTAGCAGTGGCTTTAGGGTTGCTTTGGGGTGTGGTGAAGTGAGTTGTGCGCGAGTTTTGGTGGTTGGGGGCAACGCTCCAAACCAACGAATTTGAGGGGGGGGGGGGGGCAGCTTTTCCATGGCAGTCAGGTCGAGCACAAAACTGATGGGCTCCCGTATTGCGAGCGTACATGCGCACCTCCCTCTAACTGAAGATCATCAGGGCCCCCCTGGATAGACATCGTGTTTCACTTACCCATTCAAAGAAAAAACGGAAAGAACGTGTAACAAGCGGCCTTGACGAACGCCCACACACACACACACAATTGCGTGCATTGCGCATGTACGTTGCGCATGTGCGCCCACCTACAAGACATTTCCGCGCCTCAAGGGCAGCAAGCCGATCATCGCCTGTAGCGTGTCGAAGTCCGAGCCGAAGTCCACCTAGCGCTGGGCCGGTTGGTTGGTACGTGGGTTGGTCGGTTGGTGGGTTGGCGGCTTGCTGGGTTTGTGGGCGGGCTGGTGGGTTGGTTGCTTTGGTTGGTTGGTGGCTTGGTTGGTTGGTGGGTTTGGTTGCTGTGTTGTTTTGTTGATGGGTTGGTTGGTGAGTTGTGTGATTGGTTGCTGGGTTGGTTGGTGGGTTGGTTGGTGGGATGGTTAATGGGTTGATGGGTTGGTTGGTGGGTTGGTGGGTTGGTGGGTTGGTGGGTTGTAGCTTGGTTGGTGGGTTGGTGGGTTGGTGGGTTGGTGGGGCTTGGTGCTTTGGTTGGTAGCTTGGTTGGTGGGTTGTTGGGTGCTTTGGTTGGTGGTTTGGTTGGTGGTTTGGTTGGTGGTTTGGTTGGAGGGTTGTTGTTGGGCGTGGTTGGTGGGTTGGTTTGTGTGGTTGCGTTGGCGGCTTGGTGCCTTGGTGGCTGGGTGGCTTGGTGGCTTTGGTGGGTGGGGTTGCCCAAGAGTAGTGTTTGGCGACAAGCAACTGGTGGCGTGGCAAACTTTGCTCTTTTCTTTCGTTGGCCACCGTGGACGGTTTCTCACAAAGCCACTTGCACAGAGCTATTTGCCCAGAGCCATTTTCGCAGAGCCACTTAGTTGCACAGAGTGTAGTGTGGGTGACGTCTAACGGGATCGAAAAAGCAAAGCGCCCTTTTGCGGATCGGATCCAGATTAACTCTCTCCCTCTCTCTCGGCGTTTTCGAGACCAATACTGATTAGTTGGGGGGTGTCCCATTTAAGCCCCTTCGCTTTGGGGCAAGGTCGATTAATCCGGGGTTGATATGAGTCTGTGGTCCATGTGGTTTGGGGGGACTCTCCTAATTGCTACAACCAGGGGACTCGCCAACTTACCGTGGTTGCTGGGTCAGCAAATTCTCGCATACATCTAAGCTCTAACAGAAGCGGATCCCCTAGCCCTTCATTGCTTTTCGCTTTCTCGCTCGTTTTACCCAGAGGAGCTCGAAACATACAATAGGGGGTGGTCCCTTCAACTTTCCCTCAAATAAATCAACCCGAAAGAGCGCACAATCAAAACAAGGCAAACCCATATGGGTTGTCGTTTTTTGGGGGGGACCCCCTTGTTGGTGGGCGTTTTAGCGGGAAACCAAAGGGCTACTTCTCACAGCAGACGTTGACCGAACCCGGCCTCCATCTTTGCCAGCGGCGACGCCTCTTCGCTGCGGGGGCTCGAGGCGCGGCTCTGCGAGCCGGAGCCGGAGCTGCTGGGCGCTTGAGTGCTGCTCTCAAAATCGGGGCCCTGGCGGCATCCGGGCGAAGACGAAATCCCAGCGAGCCCAGCGGCCCGATCGATCCCATTTGGCCAAAGGAGTGGTTTGACCAAAAGTCAGGGCCGAGATGAAAGGGGGAGCCCTTTCTCACTCTCTGCCCCTCAAGGCCCTTCTGGAAGCAAGCGACAGGGGCATCTTGGAAAACGAAAGCTTGCCTTTTGGGGAAGCCCCTTAACTAATACTTTCACGATTGGTCAAAGGAGAGTAAGTTTACCACCCGAGTCACGGGTGGAAGGGAAAAAACAGATTTCTGACTTTGACATCCCCAAAACAGTCAAAATAATGACCCCAGAAATACCGCAACTAACTGGGCTACGTGCAAAAGTTACCTAGCCGGGACATCCGTCAGAAATTCAACCGATTACAACCGGGGCGAAATCTCTCGGGTTTACCTCAGGCCCTATGTGGAAGTGAGACAGAAGAGAAAGAGAAAGAAAGAGAGAAAGAGAGAGAAAGAGAGAGAAAGAGAGAAAGAAAGAGAGAAAGAGAGAAAGAGAAGACAGAAACGAAAAGAAGGAAAAAGGAAGGGACAAAAAGAAACAAAGAAAGGCGGAACAAAAACGGAAAACAAAGAACTGACATAAACTCCACCCACCCACCTACCCACCTACCCCACCCCCTCCTGAAGGGACCCTTTGAGCAACTGCAGCACCTGCTCCTCCTTGCCCTGGCACGCGGCTGTCCCTCCGCTTGGCTTCCGTGCCCAAGAAACAACTTCCGCACATCGGGATCATCTTTTGGGGGCCAAGGTTGGGGTTGAAACAGATCGACACCGAGGAATGTGAACCGGTTGGGGAAAAAGAAACAAAGTGAAGGGCGGTGGACAGACCAAAATTCACCTCTCCCATGTATGTACACGAGAATAGCGCAAAGCTGCATTGCATTAATCTCACACACGCACGCACGCACCCACGCGCACACGCGATGCAACATGACACAAATGTACATAATGATCACAAGGCTTCGTTGTTCACAATCGCGACGGATACAAATAAAACAAAACACATGTACCTGACTGGACTGGCCTGGGCGACTACTGTCCTCCAAAAGGGGCCGAGCCTTTGGGACCTTTTGTTGGCTCGGCCTGTCACAAGTGTCGTTTCAGGGCTGCCGAAAGTGGGCGAAATGCCAGTTGGTTGAAACCGGGCAAAGGAGTTTACTCACAAACGCGCGTTCAAGAAGCAAAACGGTTGTTGCTCAACCTGGGAATATTGAAAGAACATTGGAGGCTTTGGTGGACATCATTTACCATGAGCATTTGGTTCCACCACCCATTCTGCTTTTGCGTGTCCTTTTTCGGAATCTCCGATCCGATTTGACACGCTCGCCGCCTGCAGCCCGTCCAGGAAGATCATGAGCCGCGTCGCCGGGCCGACCTCGGCCGCCGAAGACTCCTCCGACCGCGAGGAAGAGGACTCGGAGGCCACGTCTGCGGAGGTCCCCTGAAACCTCGGGAGGCTTTGCGGCGCGAGGACCTTGCCCGCCTCAATCCTAACCTGCCCCCCTGAAAACACCACAAGGGAAGCCACTTCCATCGGGCTCAAGGAGTGAGGCTTGGATTCGAAGCTTGTGAGAAGTGAACGGATTCCCAACCTGGCATCGTATGCGCCGTGCCTTCCACGAGCTGTGGCTTGCACTGTCCTCATGCCGGCCCTGAGAGGGCGGAGAACTTGAACAACTTGAGAAGGCGGACCGAAAACCGGCCCCCTGAACCAGCAACGTCGAGTTGGCAAATCCAAGCAGACGGAAAAGCAGTGCGGAAAGGTGCAACAGCATGGCGGCAAGCCAGCCCAGCCAAACAAACCTGTGTTGGAGTGGCGTATGTCCGGGCAATGCTGTGGCAAAAACAATCCAGCCCGGACAGGGTGGGAATCGAGCCCTCGCCGGTGTGTTTTGAGACATGCGCAAACATGCGCCCTCAAGCAAAAAGAAAAAAAACAAAACAAAAAACAAGTCTGATGGAACCCCTGCATCAAAACCGTTCAAAGCCCGACCGCCAAAGAGATGCACACACTTAAGAAGGACAAAATATGTCATGAACAAACAAATGTGCAGCAACCCAAGACAAATGATTCTTCAATGTTTGACAAGGAAACAAGCTGCAAACATAAGAACAAAACATCTTCAAGCGCCAAGTACCAGGAAGCCCCACAAGAAACAGCTCAACAGGAAGATCTCCAAGAAAAAGACCCTCCCTATGGGTCGCTTGTTGGAGCCCCAATCCGGTAGCTCGTCAGAGCAAATCGGCAGATTTTCAAACGAAGGGGAGGGGGTTAGTGGGGGGTTGGAGGTTGGATCCTGCCAATCCGAAGACCTGGAATAACCAAGTGCAGGTTACCCCCGAATCGAATCCGACCAAATCCCCCCTCTCCGCCACTCCCCCCTCTCCTTCCTGCCAATTGGATCAGAGCACAGGGCTTGTCTCAACACAGCGTACTAAAAAAAATGGCAACGCCTTCCGTTTGGTGTCGCTGAACCTCAAAAGGGCCAAGCCCGTTTTCTCCCATCCACGATGTTGCCAAGAGGCCCCACGGTTCCCAAGCTGTGCTTCAACTCCTCCTGGGTCTCCCGGTAGCAGCTCAGCACCACCACCAGCTCCTCCTCACGCACCACCTGGGGATATATCTTCCGTGTCTTCCGAAAAAATGGAACATTGAAGCCACAAATAGGTGTGGCATCTTGAAGGGAAAAGTTTTCCACGTGGTGCTCTAAGAAAACTAAAGGAAACCATGTGGCTCAAGTCCATTCAAAAGGGCTGGGGGACACAGGGTGGAAGCAGGTGGCACAAACTGATATCAAAGAGGACCTTGACATTTGCTCGGGGGCCACAATCGAAAAACAGGTGTGTGGTTGAAATCAGGCCCCCCCCCCCCGCTTCTTGTCAAAAAAAAAGATTTGGCTATGGATCAAAAATAGATGCCCAAAATGGAACCTTGGTAAATGGAAACCCCAAGACGGCAAAGGACCAGAAAGAACCGCCCAGGCCGAGCCCCGCGCATCATCCACCAGGTCCTTGGCCAGCAAACTCGGCGCCACGGGTTTCGGGGCCCTCGCCAACTTGGCCCGCAGGAGGAGAACCCGCGCCCAGGCGAAGAGGACAAAAACAGCCACCGCCAGGGACAACCCACCTCGCGCAAATGATCCGGTTGCAGTTTCCGGTTCACTGCCTTGACGTTTTTTGTCGCAACTCCCATGGTATTGAAGCAAGCCTTAAAGAAACGCCGCACCCCGCTTTCAACGGCAAAAAGTTGGCTCCTGAAATGAGCCAATTTAAACAAAGCGCCCCGAGTTAGGCATTCGCATTCGCCTCGCCTCCAACCATGGCACGATTGATTTGCGTGTCCATCACCTCCATGGCTGTCAGGCGAAAAGCTCGTGAAAAGAGGCTGAGGCAAAACGCCTGCGGCACAGCGAACCTGGAAGCGCCGGCTTTTCTGTATACCAACCCGTCAATTCACATGGAACCTGGGGACCCGTCCCTTTTGAAGGACACTTACTTGTCTTCCAGGATCCCCCTGTCAGGTTCCATGTGACATGTGGGAGGGAATCTGATTTTGCTGCTAACGCCTGTCAGCTTCACGGAGCTCGTTGTCTCTATTGTGCCAGCTCAATGTTATCCATTCAAAAGCACCGCAAAGTACTACAATTATGGCCACTGGTCAAAACCCAAATCGTACCCCCGGTGAACATCCCAATCCCCACTAAAATGGACTAAAATGAGTGGTGCACCCACCCCAAAATGGTACCATTGGTTTTGACCCACAGCCATATATGTCAAAAGCAAATTAGATATCTGTCTAGTGTTAAAAAGCTCATTTACCCGATCCCCCATACATGTCATTAATCATGTATACATTGCAAAACAGAAATAATCGTACGTTCAAATAAATACATACATATATATATATATATATATATATGTATGCGTGTGTGCGTGTGTGCATTCGAATATGATAAAAGCATACACCCGACATACCAATCATATGTTCAATCCATAGATGTGAAATTATCGTAGTTCTAGTTTTTGCATAGAATGCATAATCTAATCCAGTTCATAAGTAACACATGCTAAGCATGTTGTTCACAATAATACGGGGGCATATGCAATACACATATTAGTTACTATCGTTCAAACCAGACCCAGGTAGAATGACCCTATGTTTTAGTAATAAACCTCATCGACACACACGCACACAAACACATACACAGGCATCATCGTCACCGCAACCACCATTATCGGCGTTAGAAAGGGCCCAAGAGCCATGTAAGCAAGCACTTGCCTTTGGACTTGAAGTTCAGTCTAAGCCCAAGCCGTCTGCCGTGCTTTTGTCTGCCGTGCTTTTAGTCAGCCGGCTGCAAGCTCCAGAAAATCCTTTGGGGAACGGTAAGCGCAAAACGCCCAGTCTTCAACTACAGGCGCATGCAACAAAAAAGTTAACAAGTCGAAGCTTGCTACTGCCAGCGATCATGGAACACGATCATACCATACATCAGTATGTACACTCATAGACGGGAAAGGTCAAGTGGTTCACTCCGCAGAACGCCGATCAAGGAAAATGCGGAGCGAGCTTGCAAAGGCTCCTGCACATAGCGTCGAGGGCGACAACACACGCCTGCATGTTGGGTCCTTCTGCGCGCCGGCAGATAGATGCCCTGCAACGGATTTCAATGTTAGCGTCATTGCTATGACTTCGGGGAGTTTAACGTAGGGAAGCCGATGTCTTCGCTGATTGCGTAGGCAAGTTGAGTGCTTGAGACGCTCCCTTACTGCATGTCACAAGAGACACACAAAACTCGTGCCTGAAGGATCGCAGCGCAGCACTCGGCCCTGAGCCCGGAGAGAAAGTGCAAATTAGAAAGACAAATGGAGAACGCTCAGCGAACTCAGCGAAGTCTCTTGGGCCAAGCTTCCTCCCTGAGAAGAAGAGGCGAGCCATCCGTATCCACATCCCAAAGTGCCTCCGGCAGAGTCGAGCTCAGATCGCCCACGAACTGCAAATCGCAAGTGAGCTCAGATAGCCTCCTCCCCAGATTTACAGCGAGCAGCCTCAGTCACGTAATCCCCTCCCCTTTCGCCGTGAGTGCTTACAGACAGCCGGTGCAAAGCGCGCATAGGACAAGCTGCAGGGAAGCGAGCAGCCATGGACGTAGCCTCCTGGAAGACGGCAGGCAGTGTTCAAAAATCGACCGCGCGCGGCTCAACAGGTCTGATCCTGAACATTCAAAATTGTTTTCTTTTGGTCTGGCGCAGCAAGCATCATATCATGTGGGTGTGGCTCAAAATTAAACAGGAGGGGTTACGCAGGTTTTGTTCTATGTTTCCACTTGCCAGGGCAACCCATTTTGGCATCTCTTTCTGAGTGTAGCCCTTTTTTGTGGCTTGCAAAAGGTAAAGCAAAGGAAAACCACCCTATGCTATGTGTTCCTGCCATTTTCTTCTTCTTCTTCATCATTTGTTGTTTGTTTGCTTGTGCGTGTGTTTTTTTAGGGGGGAGGGTCCCATTAAAAAAGAAAAAAGAAAAAAACACCCACATGTACGGCCCGCATTCGAGTTGTAGCCAGATCCCGGGGCTCAGACCTCCGAAACCTTGCGCTGCAACACGTTCATCAGCAGCTCGCGCCGCAAGTTGCCTCCACAGGCGAGCCGTCACTCGTCAGTCGAAACGTCACAGCCGGAAAGGCGAAGTGGCTGGAAAAAAGGTCATCCTATTGCAAAGACTATCCCGTTTTTTTGAGGCTGGGGAATCGCCCTTTTCTTGGCAAATGGCTGTGGGTCAAAACCCTGTAGCCCTGGTGAACATCAAGATAGGTGGCAAATGGATGTTCATCCACCCCAAAATGGAGCCATAGGTTCTGCCCCACGACCAAATAACCGTCACAATCGCCATGTCGGCCGAATCGATGCCTTCCCAGGCACTTTCGGGTGATGGGCACAAGGACTCCGATGCACTTTGCGCATGTGGCTCAGAATAGGCCCTATGAACGCATGGGCCAAAAACGTGCGGTGGCTCTGCAATTTTGAGGCAGTTGCATATCTGTCTCGCATGTAAGGCGTCTTCAGCAAACATTGATTTGTTGACAAGGTTGGTTCAGAGTTCAGAGTATGGACACCGACACAGCAAGAGACACTGCAAAGGACAACTCGCGCAACACCTCCATGGCCTGGATTATATAGTATACAACACCTAGGACACCCTTTTCTTGTTGCGTCTTTCTATTCCACCCGGTTGGCTTCATACTATACATCTGGCGTGCCATCCCTGAGCCATCCCGGATACTGTAAGCGCCATCCAGCCGACCTCTCTGCGATTCTTGACCTGAATGCACGCGAGTGCGTGGAGTGCGCGCCAAGTGTGTTCCTTTGACCATCCTATGTGGATCAGCACTGCCTCACAAGCACTTGTCTGTTCAACATGGAGGATCTCTCCAATCAATACCTAGTGACCAACCACAAAACAAAAACCTTGCGCATCGCCCGCCCGGGCAGCGCTTCTTTCCTCCTTCCTTCTGGCCCCCGGCTCTTTTTTTTCCTCCACCCGCCTTTGAGGTCCTCGTCCAGCTCCAGGGCGGTGGCTTCCAGCTTCCTCCAGGAGCTGACGATGTCCGCCAGGTCGTCATCCGGAGCCTGCGAAGTACCACGCGCACTTCACGCCGCCATGAGGAAAAACAAAAACTGGGCGAGGGGCGTCCACGAAGTGATCGTGCATCGCCTCCGCTCGCCGGAAAACGGAGACAAAAATGACCCAATGACGAGCCCAGCGGCATTGAGAAGCACAGAGCTCATGGTGAAGGCCCTCTTCACCTTTCCGAAGCTTCGAGGGCCGGCAGATCTTGGGAGAGCTCTGCGCAACCCCCGGCCTGCAGCAGAAAGCCCCCGGCTTCATGCTGGAGAGCTGCATCCAAAGGCGCCTGCAGCAACTCCAGGGCTTTGGCCACCTCGGAAACGGAACCGGGACCATTGCTTGAGCTAGCCTACCTTGAAAGGAGAGAGAAAAAGGAACAATCTTCCTGAATCAGACCCTTCCGGCCATGCCATCCAGCCCTTTGGGCTTTGCGTTCAGCTGCAGCCTGAGGCTGTTGCCGACTTCGCCGAAGCAGGGACCGTGGCGTTCACTGTCAGGCTGGCGATGCCTGAGCCAAAAACAAACGCGAGTCACACAGCTGCTGCGCCAAAAACGCATGCGGCGCAAAAAAATAAATAGCGCCGCAAAGCAGCGCAGGTAATGCATCAGCAGGCCACCGTCCACCAAGACATCTGCCACACGGGCAAGGCTCACCACGGCATCACTCCATGCCTCGGCAGAAAGCTGGCTGATAGCCATCCAAGTAACCTAGCAAGCAAGCAGTAGCAACTTTGAACAAGCACCTGTAGCACCTTTATTTGAACGCGCTTTGAAAGGGAGCCAAGCGCAACTAGCCGAATCGAGAAACCAGTCAAAAGTCATAAATAGGTGCTCGGCCGCAGGCTTCTACCCATGCCAGGCTGCGTCGTTGATGGTGCGTTTCACGGCCAGCTGATCTCGATCCATGCGATTGATGGTTTTTGCAAGCAGCTTCAAAGGTGCAACTGGCCCAGGTGAGCCTTGTTCACCTCAGAGAAATCCGAAAGAGCAGAAGTGTCAAATCCAATCTTCAACCAGGAAGCATCTGTCTTTGGTAACGGCATCGCGCAGCATCTGTAAAGCAGTCGACTTGCTTTTCACGTACTCACCTCAGCTGCCACCAAGCACTTATTGTTCTTGCCATGGGCAGCAGCAGGATACGCTCGCAATCAACAACTGGCAATTGGTTGATGCTACAGCTGCTAGAGTTGACCAGCACACGCTCACCACAAGCAAGCAGTCAAAAGCATCCGCAGGCAAGTTCCGTCGCACTCGAACGTTCACTCGGCATCTTCTCTGCGGGTTTGAGTCGAACAAGCCCAAGCCGCGCCAAAAACACCTCAGAGAGTCGGCCAGCCGAGCTGCGCGAAGCCGCGATGAACCTTGAGAAGCTGTGGTGCGCGGATGCCAAGTGCCTGGGTGGAATCTTCCCATGGAAAAAAAAGCACGGGGGCTCTCCTGGTCTGGCTCGATGTGGCTGTAAGTCAAAAGCCCGTACCCCCAGTGAACATCCCAATCCCCACCAAAATAATTAGGTGCTAAACTTGGGTGGTGAATTCACCTATCCCAACCAAAATGGTCTCCCAAGACGGTTTTGACAACACCGCAGCCCCACGTCCGAAGCGAACGCCTCGGCTTTTTCGCCCGGGCCGCGCGTCGAACTTCAGAAGCAGCTCCGAGGCGGCCAAGATCTCCATCTCGTCGCCTCAGAACGAGAGGCGGCGCCTGAAGCGTTCGATTTGGAACGTGTGGGTTTCCATCAAACACGGCGGAGGCGCTGTAAGCTGTTCCTGCCTTCATGGAACTTGGTGGAAGCACCCGGGTTTCTTGCTGGTGCGATAGGTGGGGAATGTGGGAAACCCCCAAAGTCCCCTGAAAGGAAACCGCCAAATGGATGCATCTCTCACAGCGGATCGTTTTCTCCCCATGCTCGGAGGATCCGAGCGGTCCGAGGCTCTGAGCTGCTGAAGCGAGGCGGCGCGGGCCATGATGGTCCTGCGAGGAGGCGCCGGGCAAGTGCCAAAAAAAACGAAGAAAACGGGCGAGATGCGACGAGATGCGGCGAGGTGCGGAGAGGTGCGGTGAGGTGAGTTGAGGGATTGAGGGAGAGAGGGAGGGAGGGGAGGGGAGGGGAGGGGAGGGGAGGGGAGGGGAGGCCAAGGAGCTTCTGCTCCCGATGGAAGGCAGATTGGTGAAGCATTGCCACCTTCATCGTGCCCATCTGGGCCAGCAGAAGTTCTCCTGTGCATGGACATCTCTCTCTTGCAAAGCCAGCTTCTACAGGGCGTTCTCAACAAATGTCCAAAGCTGGGAGTAGGTCCACTCTTGCCACTTCCTTGTGAAGGCTCAGCAACAATCTGAGTTGCACTCTTTCCTTTATTGAGCGTTGTTTCCTGCCCGGCGAGAAGTACAGCTCCTGCCGGCTCCAGCAAGGCATTCGACCTCCTGGCCATAGTCTTGGTCACGTGCTCCCGGGTGCCCTCACACACTCCGGCATGCAAATGATTCAACTGAACTTCTGCAGTCGTTCAATGCAAACTTGAACTGAAGACTTCTCTGCCCGAGAAGCAGCAAGACGAGTGTGAGTGTTGGCCAAGCTCCTTGGGTCAAACATCTGTGTATCGCAACTTTTCCCGAAGGCAGCTTCTGCAAGCAAGTGTCACTGCGATGCTTGACGCTGCTGCGGCCGCATTGGCAGTGTCTCCCTTCTGCATTGATTGCACTGCCCTGGCAGCGTGAAACGCCACGTCCTGCACAGCCGTCCTGCCCAGTGGCATTGTGGCACATGTCTGACTGTCTGTGCTGGTGGCACCGCAAATTGTGAACAAGCGCTGAAAAGCTACTTTCAAAAATAAAATAAAAATGCACAAATGTACCAGTGTGAAGCATGTGTGCAAATGCCTGTGATAGCTTCAAACAACCTGAGTGTTCTTTGAAACTGAGAACAACAATGGAAAATTCAAAATAAAAATTAAGAACTCAGACTCATGTCTATAGCTCCAAGATGTACAGCGTGTTCGTTATATATGTGTGTGTCCACGTCCAATAGCAATACGATTGAAATAATAGCAAAATATGTGTGTTGTTATGTCACGCGCCTAAATATACGTTTGCATGCTTCGAAACAGGCAATGAATAGAGACCGGCTATCAATAAATACATACATTACTAAAATCATACATGGATAAATATGCGAACAAAACTTCATTTCTCGTCTACTTCTTGTTTGTGTGCGTGCGTCCTTGCTGATGCAATTCCATGCAAGCACACATCTGTGCCTCTTCGTAAATGCTATATAGCACCACACCCAAAGCATGCCGCAGCGAGCAAATGCGTAAAAAGAATTGAGCTTCCTAGGCTTGGACTGGTGGTTTGGAGTCCCGAGCAGTGAATGGGCTGTCCTGAGCAGTGGCACGGCCATGTCCTCTTGGATGCCAGCATCCTACGTGAGCATAGCCAGTTTCGACCAAACCATCGGCCACAAATACCCGCCCTGACACTTTTGGCACTTGGCAGTGAGAACTACGTGGCTGCCATGCGACTGACCAGAATTCTTAAGACATCACAGCGAAAGATTCAGGCCAAGCCAGCCTTCTCGCTGGTGGGCTCTTGGTGGATCACAGCGAGCAGCTTCGATGTCTCTGTCAGGACCGATGCCACGTGCTTCGGCATGTCACTTCGCACCTCGAGCCGACTTCACCGGAAGCTGATCGCCCCGGCTCTCCGAAAGCAAAAGCTCAGGCTCAGGCAGAGACGTTGTATGAGAGAAGGGCCTGCTTTCCATTTCTGTCCAGCTTCTGATCAAGTACGTCAAACCACTTGCCCTGATAATCCGCCATCATCTGCAAGTTGTCATTGACAGTCTTGATGTCTTCTTGAAGCTTGTTGACGCCATCGATGCTCACGTCACTGCTCTCTTTCAGTGCATTCAGCTGGTCCTCAGCTCCAGAAAACCGACGTATATGTGCTTGCATGTGCTTGTGGATTTCCCCCGCTCTTCCCCCGATTGGCTCTTCCTGTGGTAACTTTGTGGTACTTGTTTAATTCTACAGGGCTTCACAACAGCCAAATCCAAACCGTTGTCCAGATCAGCAGAATGGGAATTGTCCGGATCAGCAGAATGGGAATTGTCCGGATAAGCAGAATGTTTCTTTCTTTCTCCAATTTCAAGGGCACCATCGAGAAGACACAGTGAGGCGATCTGTATATCCAGGGCTCCGTGATCTGCGTCGACAGATCGTTGCGGTAAGTCGTTGCTTGGTCGAAACCCTGACGCAAACTTTGCACCAGACTCAGTGCAGCTTGAGCTGGATTCGCATAAATATTATCATGCGTGACTTCTAGTCTCACTTTCTCTCCCTCTTTCTCTCAGAAAAACGCCTGCGTGAAGTATGTTGTCAGAAAGCTTTCGAGGCCATCCATCATATTTGCAGAATTCGTGTTGATTTGTTGCTGTATCGCGGCCTCGTGTGACAATCCAACCGACCTGTCATCACTGGTCCGCTTGCACAAGCATTCGAGCAGCAACATAAGCCCGCAGCCAAGTGCTCACTGCTCTGCTTGGCATAGTGCAGCAACCTTTCTGCGACAACATTTGCGAATTCACAAATGTTGAGACGGCCAGTGTTGCAGCGAGGCCGCATGCTGTGCACAGTCTCAATCAGATACTTTTCCTGAAAGGCATGCCATGACAAACATGAAAGAAGGACCCCAACCAACCTTCACAGGTCAAAACAAATGCTGGCAGCAATCCAAAAAGTACGCCCAGTCATTTCACCCCAAGCCGTGTGCAGCCATGCGTCCAAGCCTTTCATGGACTTCAGCACTGCAAAGTTTCCTTTGACCACCGCATCTTCCACGCAGTGCAAGTTGCAGAAGGTCTTGGGCAAGAGTTGCACATTGAATGCGCGCCAATCGCCCCAGGATTCAATATGAATAAAAAGCAAGTTTGGGTGAATTTGAGTCAAGCAGCCTGGTACATATCTTGATTGTCGACAAAGCTGCAGAATTGCGAATCAATGTTATCGTTTTCGTCTTTCCACGCTTCTCTGGCCAGCATTTGACGCGAGGAAACCTGCTGGTAGGTCTCGTGTACGAGGCTGTTGATGCCCGAGCAAATATCAGAGACTCGGAAAGGAGAGCTCAACATGTCGGGCACACACACAAGGCGCACACAGGCAGTGTGTCGATGTCGACGTAAGCTGGGCTTCCGGGCAATCAAAGCTGAGCTCGACTCCCAGGCCCATAGGAGCCAAAAGAGTTCCCGCACCCGGAATGACGGAGCAGATCGAGTCCGTCACGTAACTCACCTGAGCTACGCCTCCCCTTCCCTTTGACCTGGGTGGCCAAAGCCTTTGGGGACTTCACCCCCCGAAATGGATCAAACTGCCGGGCTGTTTTTTGGCTTTCCCTTTAAAACCACCCAAAACCAAGGGGTGTCCCTTAAAAACAAAACCCCAAAAAAATAAGCTCAGGTAATATCCCCAACAGCACCACACCCGCCCCGGGACCCACCTCACCGCCTTGTAACTTTACGAAGCAAAGCTCGGAGCGACAGCACATTCGCGCCCTGATCGGGGCCCGACGGCACAATCAAAGCCCGATCGGGGCCCGACGTCACAATCGGGCCCGATCGGGCCCGACGGGGCCTGAGCGGGGCCCGACGGTGCAATCGGGCTCCGACCGGGGCCCAATGGTCCCACGGTGCAAGCGGGCTCCCACCAACCCCAGCCACCCATATGAAAGCTGAACGCCGGCTTTCCTTAGGATGCAGCCTTACAATTGTATCTAGCAAAACTAGGCGATGCCAGCTTGGTAGTTGATGGGGCCCGATCAGGGCCCGCCGGCGCAATCGGGGCCCGATCAGGCCCGGAACCCGGTCGCAAACCGTTGCGTGAAACTTTGTTGGAACCTTCCTCAGGGCTGCCCCATTGCTTTTGCAGAACCTGGTGGAAACCTTGTGGAGCGCTTTTGGAATATTATTCCGAACCCAAAGCACCAGGCAATACTCAGTAATGCCAAGCATTTACTGTGCTACACAGTGATTTTGCCACAAAGCCAACGCGTTGCCTGAGCAAGTGAGCAAGTGACAAAACAGTGAAAGTGTGCTTTCGGTTTTGCTTAGTGTTCCGCCTATGAGCAAAGCGATCTTCTGAGCCCTCAATTTACTGCTCCGATGGCTTTTCAGACGGTGGGCGCACGACACATTGCTTCCTTGCAGAACATTTGTGGAACTTGTGGAGCGTTGTGGAGCCTTGTGACCCTTACCTCAGGGCCGGACCATCCCACAGCCCGTGGAACCCTGAAACTCTCATGGAACCCCCGCAGCCTTGCTAGACCCTCATAAAACCTTACCTTGCGCAATCCGGTGGAAGCGTGGTTGACCCGCCCTTGCAGAACCTGGTGGAACCCTGGTGGAATTAGCTGCTAAAACCCTGGTGGAATTCTCTCGTGTGGAACCCTGGTGGAACCCTCGTGGAACCTTACCTCAAACCACTTCGGACCACCCCGCAGCCCTCGCAGAACCTGGTGGAACCCCCTAGTAAAACCCTCATGGAACCTTACCTCAAACCACCCCGCGCCACCCCGCAGCCCTTGTATGGAACCCTGGAACCACCCCGAACCACCCCGCAGCCCTCGCAGAACCTGGTGGAACCCTTGTGGAACCCTCGTGGAACCTTGCCTCAAACCACCCCGGACCACCCCGCAGCCCTCGCAAACTTAGTGGAACCCTGGTGAAACCCTCGTGGAACCTTGACTACCCCGCAGCCCTCGCAGTGGTGGAACTCTGGTGGAACCCTCGTAGAACCTTACCTCAGGGCCGGGCTGAGACCCCAAAGCTTTCAGCTGTTGGGGGAAGAAAAAAAACTAGACCACGGTTGGCCCGAAAGCAGAACATCGCAAGCGAGGTCGGCCCAACGCTGCAGGATGCGTTCTTTTTCCCTACACGAAGCATTCGTGAAGCAAGCGCGAGACAGCACCAGGCAAGGTGCTCTGTGCAAGTTGCTCTGTGCAAGTTGCTCTGCGTAAGTTGCTCTGCGCAAGTTGCTCTGCGCAAGTTGCTCTAGGCAAGGCGCTCTGCGCAAACTGGTCGGTGCAAGTTGGTCTGCGCAAGTTGCTCTGTGCAACTTGCTCTGCGCAAGTTGCTCTGCGCAAGTTGCTTTAAAATGCAAGTTGCATCTTGCGACGCCCGCCCGCGGACCAGGGAGGAATCGAACCCGCGACCCGCCGGTTCCGGGAGCAGGCGCGCGAACCACGAGACAACTCCCGAGGACCAGTTCGAACAACAAAAGTCGCAAAAAACCTCGAGTTTTTGCACCTCGACCACGCCGATCCCCGCAGAGGGTCGCGCGAGCAGGTTAGAAATCGCAAAAAACCATGGGTTTTTGCACCTCGACCACGCCGATCCCCGCAGAGGGTCGCGCGAGCAGTTAGAAATCGCAAAAAACCATGGTTTTTGCACCTCGACCACGCCGATCCCCGCAGAGGGTCGCGCGAGCACCGCAGAAATCGCAAAAAACCTGGTTTTTGCACCTCGACCACGCCGATCCCCGCAGAGGGTCGATTTTCGTGTAGTGTCGTCGGCACTACCCCGCCGCCCTAAGAAGAGATTTTAACTCCTCGCAAGTCAATTGCACTGACTCCTTGCACTTGCAACTTGCACTTGACTCCTTGTTTCAAGGAGTCATTGGAGTCATTGCAAGGAGTCATTGCAAAAGGAGTCATTGCAAGGAGTCATTGCAAGGAGTCATTGCAAGGAGTCATTGGCAAGGAGTCATTGCAAGGAGTCATTGCAAGGAGTCATTGCAAGGAGTCATTGCAAGGAGTCATTGCAAGGAGTCATTGCAAGGAGTCATTGCAAGGAGTCATTGCAAGGAGTCATTGCAAGGAGTCATTGCAAGGAGTCATGAGAGCCATTGCAAGTTGCAAGGAGCCAAGTGCATGGAGTCAAGTGCAAGTCGCAAGTGCACGGAGTTAAGTGCAAGTTGCAAGTGCAAGGAGCCAAGTGCAAGGAGCCAAGTGCATGGAGCCAAGTGCAAGTTGCAAGTTCATGGAGTCAAGTGCAAGTTGCAATTGCAAGGAGTCAAGTGCAAGTTGCAATTGCAAGGAGTCAAGTGTTGCAATCCTTGCCATGACTCCTTGCCAATGCACTCCCTTGTCTTTGCAATGACCTCCTTGCAATTGCAATGACTCCAATGACTCCTTGCCATGACTCCTTGCAATGACTCCTTGCAATGACTCCTTGCAATGACTCCTTGCAATGACTCCTTGCGACCATGACTCCTTGCAATGACTCCTTGCAATGCAATGACTCCTTGCAATGACAATCCTTGCAATGACTTTCATGATGATGATTCCTTGCAATTCCTGCAATGAATGATGCTGATTCCTTGATACCTTGAATCTCATGAGAACAACTCAAGTGAACCCAGCGGAAGAACCCTTCGCCATGCTTTCGGGAAAAGTCCAAAAAGCCGACCACTTCGAAACGCGGCTTTCGTGCCCAGGCGCTGCACCCATGGTGAGATCCCTGAGGTGGCCAAAGCCCAGATTCTTGGCGTGGTCGGTGTTTCCTTGTGAGTTACTCTCTGGCCCCTAGATTCGATCCGTGCGATCGGTGCAAATTCAGAGACGCAGGGAATGAGAAATGGAAGGAACCGCAAGTTTCGGGGATTCCCGGATGGATGAACATTTTTGGGGGGTCATTCCAATCCCCATTCCCTCCCAGCAAAAAAATGTATCTATTTGCTTGAAAGGGCGTGGGACTTAATGAAGCACCTTGGCCAAAAAAAAGAAGCAAATGTCGCTGCAAGGAGACCACCAAGTCTACCACTTGTCATTCCACAGGATCGTAGCAACTCGCTGGCTTGACCCCCATGAACCATCCCTTATGAAGGTCCCAACTCTTCATTCCAACCCTTCCAACGATCTGCCCACTGAACCAAGCCAAGGCCACAAAGCCAAATTCCCCCCCCCCCAAAAAAAAACGGAACCTTGACCCACATTTCACCACTTCCCTGAACAAGACAAGACCCTACCCTTTGAGCCGAGCTTCTTTGCGACTGGCGTTTGCGGCAAGCCTTGGTCGCCGCAAAGGTGGCGCCGCGCTGCACGGGCTCATGCAAGAACTTCTTCACGTCGATGCCCTAAGCCCGAGGTTGTCAAGCACCGTGCTTCAACAGAAAGATGGCTCCGTCAATACGCCGTGTGGCTTGACACACGGAAGCGAGAAGAGCGTTGCCGGGAACCAAAGGGAAAAAGGGTTGCAATGTGTTTGTTTTCAAGGGAAAAGCGTGGAGTTATGGCCCAGCCTTCAAACCATTACGAGCCACGAGGGAAGGATATCAAAAAAAAACTTGTTTAACAATCAAAAAGAAACTTTTTTTAGCAATCAAAAAAACTTTTTTAGCCATCAAGAAAAAACTTAATGCACTCAGGGCTGCATTTACTGAGAAACGTGTGTATCAAAAGGAACACGCAGTGCACGCGCACGGACACGGTCTCATCACACGTGCTGTAGCTGCGGGGTTACTCTTTTGCGATGGTCTGGGCGAGTAGCGGGGGGGTTGGGGGGGAGGGGTGGCAGCCCCCCACCATGATGATCAAGAAAATAATGTTTCAACTGGGGCAAAAAATCCGAGAAGTAGCGGGGGGGTTGGGGGGCCCCATGGTGATCGAACAAGTGATGATTCAATTAGGGGTAAACAATTTAAAAAGTAGCGGGGGGGTTGGGGGGGGCGGCAGCCCCCCCATGATGATCGAAAAACTGATGATTCAACTAGGGGCAAGAAATCTAAATAACCAACGAGGAGGCCAAAAATCTAAAACTGCCCCTTAGATTTTGTGCCCCTAATTGAATCATTCGATCGTCATGCGGCAGCCCCCCGCCCAACTTCCCTCGCACTTATCGATTTTTTGCCCCTAATTGAATCATCACTTTCTGGATCAGTAGCGGGGGGGTTGGGGGGGGCGGCAGCCCCCCCCCATGATGATCGAAAAACTGATGATTCAATTAGGGGCAAGAAATCTAAAAACCAGCGAGGGGGCGTACAATCTAAAAAGTAGCGGGGGGGTTGGGGGGGGCGGCAGCCCCCCCGCGATGATCGACAAAGTGAGCATTCAAATTGTGGCCAAACATCTAAAAATAGCGGGGGGGTTGGGGGGGCTCCCCCATGATGATCCAGAAAGTGATGATTCAATTAGGGGCAAAACATCTTGAAGTGGCGGGGAAGTTGGGGGGGGGCCTACCGCATGACCACAAATGTAAAAGTAGAGGGGGGGTTTGGGGGGGGGGGGTGGCAGCTCGATGATCAAGAAAATAATGATTCAACTGGGGCAAAAGATCTGAGAAGTAGCGGGGGGGGGGGCAGCCCCTGGTGATCAAACAAGTCCCCCCCCCCATGATGATCGAAAAACTGATGATTCAACTAGGGGCAAGAAATCTAAATAACCAGCGAGGAGGCCAAAAATCTAAAACTTCCCCTTAGATTTTTTGCCCCTAATTGAATCATTCGATCGTCATGCGGCAGCCCCCCGCCCAACTTCCCCCGCACTTTTCGATTTTTTGCCCCTAATTGAATCATCACTTTCTGGATCAGTAGCGGGGGGGTTGGGGGGGCGGCAGCCCCCCCCCATGATGATCGAAAAACTGATGATTCAATTAGGGGGCAAGAAATCTAAAAACCAGCGAGGGGGCAAAAAATCTAAAAAGTAGCGGGGGGGTTGGGGGGGGCGGCAGCCCCCCCACGATGATCGAAAAAGTGAGCATTCAAATTGTGGCCAAACATCTAAAAATAGCGGGGGGGTTGGGGGGGCGGCAGCCCCCCCAATGATGATCCAGAAAGTGATGATTCGATTAGGGGCAAAACATCTTGAAGTGGCGGGGAAGTTGGGGGGGGGTGGGGCTACCGCATGACCACAAATCTAAAAGTAGAGGACAAGTGATGATTCAATTAGGGGTAAACAATTTAACAAGTAGCGGGAGGGTTGGGGGGGGCGGCAGCCCCCCCCATGATGATCGAAAAACTGATGATTCAACTAGGGGCAAGAAATCTAAATAACCAGCGAGGAGGCCAAAAATCTAAAACTGCCCCTTAGATTTTTTGCCCCTAATTGAATCATTCGATCGTCATGCGGCAGCCCCCCGTCCAACTTCCCCCGCACTTTTTCGATTTTTCGCCCCTAATTGAATCATCACTTTCTGGATCAGTAGCGGGGGGTTGGGGGGGGGTTGCCGCCCCCCCCATGATGATCGAAAAACTGATGATTCAATTAGGGGGCAAGAAATCTAAAAACCAGCGAGGGGGCAAACAATCTAAAAAGTAGCGGGGGGGTTGGGGGGGGCGGCAGCCCCCCCCAGGATGATCGAAAAAGTGATCATTCAAGTTGTGGCCAAACATCTAAAAGTAGCGGGGGGGGGGTTGGGGGGCGGCAGCCCCCCCATGATGATCCAGAAAGTGATGATTCAATTAGGGCGGGGGACGATCGAAAAAGTGATGATTCAATGAGGGCAAAAAATCTACATAGTAGTGGGGGGTTGGCCCCCCCATGATGATCGAAAAAGTGATGATTTGAATAGGGGTGGCATTTCAATTGAAAGGGGGGCAAGAGGAACTGAGGATGCAGGAAGCCACGGCCAATAACCAACTGGGAAAGCAGAGGATGCAAAAAGCCAAAGCCAGAAAGCCGCCAAAAGCCACAAAGCCAAAAAGCCACCTGAGAGAAACTGGTAATGCAGAGGATGCGAAAAGCCAAAGCCGCAAAAGCTGCATAAACCCAACAAAAAGCTGCAAAAGCCAAACAGAGAGGAACTCAAAAGACCAAAGGATCAAGAGACCAAAGGACCAAGGGACCAAGGGACCAAGGGACCAGAGGACCAGAAATGCAAGGATGAAGGGACCAAGACCAACAGAGCAGAGGCCAAAGATAACCAAAGGAGCGAGGGACCAGAGGATCAAGGGCTCCAGGACCGGGACCAAGGGACCAGGAGACCAAGACCAGGCACCAAGGGACCAGAGGAGCAAGGACCAGGAAAGTGGAGGACCAAGGGACCAAGGTGACCAAAGGACCAAGGGACCACAGGACCAAGGGACCAAAGGACCAAGGGACAAAAGGACCAAGGGACCAAAGGACCACGGGACCAGGGGTGTTCAAGGAACCAGAAAATCAGAATATACAAGCAGCAGAGTGAGATTGTGGGAAGTTTTTTTTTGATTGCTAAAAAAGTTTTTTGTTGATGGCTGAAAGTTTTTTGTTGATTGCCAAAAAAGTTTTTTTTGATGGTCATCCCCCATTACGAGGGGGTCGCGTTAATCACCGCGCGTGCAGTCACATCACGGCCTGGCCGCGCGCACGGGGGCACCCTTCACTGCGAGCGGGGGCTTGCACTTCCAACCGCCAGGGCTCAAATTATCCCGGGAAAACCACACGGAGCCCCGTGAGTTTCAACGGGAGCCCACCTGGAAGCTGAGCAGGCGGGACATGTCGAAGCTGCTCTCCCACGCGCCGCGGTCCAAGGAGGACTTGGCATAGTAGAAGGGATGGCACCTCTCCAAAAACCGGCGCTTTTCTTTGCCATTGGGAGGTAGCCGGAAAGAAAACCTGAAGCCTGAAACCTTATAACTTACAAGCCATCGCTTTTCCCCGAAATCAGCTTGAAAGCTTCAAGATGCTTTCACTGTCCCAAAGAAAAAAAACAAAAAACAAAAAACGGCGAGGCACGGGTGGTTCTGTGCATCCGCCAATGGCTCCACGAATTGCCAGTTCTTCTCCTCCGAGAACTGCCCCGCGTCCGCGCGCTTCAGGCTGCCAAGAGGCTGCCCCCCGTCCTGGTCCTAGATTCGCAAACGGAAAAAACACGACCACGGCTCTTGCTATGCTTGGATTTTGTTCTGGCGGTTTGGAGGGGGCGCAAAGTTTCCCATTTACCTATCGTCCAACCTTGTGCAATGGAATCGTCCACCCTTTGTTTAACGGAATTCATGGGTTTGTTCTAGGGTGCCCAAAGTTTCCCATTTACCCATCTTCCACCCTTTTGTACTCGAATTCGTTGTTTTTGTTCTGGTGGTCTGGAGGGCGAAAAGTGTCCCATTTACCCAATTCGTGGTTTCTGTTCTGGCAGTTTGGAGGAGGGGGACAGTTTCACATTTACCCATCTTCCACCCTTTTGTGCTGGATTTCGTTGTTTTTGTTCTGGTGGTCTGGAGGGCGAGAAGTTTCCCATGTACTATCGTCCACCCTTTTTAATGGACTTTGCGGTGTTTGTTCTGGCGATTTAGAAAAGGCGAAAAGTGTCCCATGAGTTTCCCCTATCGAGGAAAAAAGATCAAGGGCCCCAGCAATCCAAACCATTAACTCGGCTACTGTTGGCGGAATGTGCTTGATTGCATCTTTCGCCGAAAAAAGGGCCATGGAAGAATCTGAATGTGGCCATCGCGTTGGGAGAAGAACCCTACGGCTAGGTAGACAAAAAATGCCACCAAAGCCTCCATGGTGGCTTCGCTGTCCCATCTGGAAGAGTCTTTCAAGGCGCAGTATGGGGCATACCTCGGAGGAAAAACAAAAAATGACAGATTGCAACATGGGGAAAGCAACCAACACGCATGGCCGCTGAGGTGCTTCGGTGGAGTGGGCATCCAAGCTTTCCGATTTGCAAGATCGAAGGAGGACACCTTCCGCTCGTTGATCTCGGCGGCCTCCGCCACTCTCTCTCGCAAAGGTGCCCTCAGAATTTGGGGGGGGCACTTCATGTCTTGAGGAGCGCCTTTTCCGGGTTCCAACCAAAAATGGGAAACCGCCCAAAAGAGGGACCGGATCGCCCCGTTTTGGCACCCAAGCGGATACTTGGGGCTACCAAACCGGAATTCCAATCCAGTCGTCCCACTTGTCCATGGGTCAAAAGCCCGTACCCCCAGTGAACATCCCAATCCCCACTCTAGACTAAAATGGGTGGTGAATTCACCTACCAAAATGGGATCCCAAAACGGTTTTGACCACCACACCCACTTGAAAAAACAAAACCAGCGGGGTTTAAATTTAAACTCGGGACGGCTTCCGCGCGCGCGTCGCGGAGGCTTTGCCACGGCTCCTGGAAGCCGGTCTCCGCAGCTTGGAACTCCAAGTCGCTCAGCGACGGCGGCTCGATGGGCGGCGGCTTCTCGAACTTCTTCACCTAACGGCGACCCTCGGATGTGGGGCAGCCACGCGACGTCACTTGGCTGTGGCTCAAGCGCGCGGTGCCCAAAATGCGCCCTAAAGACTAAAACCTGCGGGGAGCCCAAGCCGTGTAATTTATTTGAGCCACACCCATTTTACCGCCATTGTTTTTGTTGTTGTTGTTTTTTTTTTTTGGTGGCCTGGTGGCTGACTTTCTGGGTCTGCGGAAGGTGCGCACATCCCTGACTTAGGCACCTAGAAAAAGACATGGCCCTGAGCAGAACTGGTCCACAATCCAGCCAAGCACCAGTCCCAATGACAGGCACAGGCACCAACAACAACAGGAAAGCACGCGCCACTGATCAGGCACACACACGGACAAACAGAAGCACATCACACAATGCAGGACACACGATACGCAGCTGAAAAATTGGCCATAAGCAAACTGGCATGTTCAAGAAAACAAAGATGCCCTCAAACCTGAAAGGGTCGACAAGTAGTCTTTTTCGCTTCCGAACCTCCCACCATGCGTTCGCTGCCTTCTCCTCCGCCGCTGGGCAACCGAGCTTCACCAAAGCCTTCCCTAAATCTAGCTGGCCCTTTGGCTTTCTTTGGCTGACGCCGCTTTTTCCAGCACCCCCCCTACCCCCCAGGCCCCCCCCTTCTTCCCCCGCCTTCCCCCACCTTCTCCCACCTTCCCCCCCCTTGGCCCGAGAACTCCTTCCGGCCTCCACCTGCTTCAGCACCAGGGGCTCGGGGCCCTTCAGGGCGTCGCCCCGGGCGTCCTCGGAGCTCTCCAGGCCCGTGACCTCGAAGGAGCCCAGGGCCCCCAGGCCCAGCGGATGCACCGCCGCCGCCCACTCGCCTCGAACGTGGGCGCCGGAGGACGGGGGGGGGGGGGGCGGGACCGGGGGGGGGGAGGGCGGGGGGGGGAGGACAGGGGGGGAGGAATGACCCAGAAAGAAAAGAAGAGCCTTCTTGGGGCTCCGGGAGAAGTGCCCAAACACGCCTTGCAAATAGTTATCATTGCCTGCCACGGCAATGCCCTGAGTGGCTGCAGATTCCTCCTACGGCTGGATGGTGCAATGGGAAACGTGCAATTTTAAGATATGCTTCAAAGAATGTTTAGCACTGGATCTGCTTTTGCTGCAGGCTGTTAGGAAATATGTCGAGCATACATCTACTACATGTTCAGAAGTTTCCGCACGTGATTAGTACGTTCCTTTTGTATCTCTAGCATGCTTAGCTGTAAGGCTTTCTTTGTTTGAGGTGCGCATTGCCAGCTCGGTTCCCACATATGGCTAGCATATGTCAAGCCTAGTTTTGGATTTGTTTGGATTCTGATGTTTTTAATAGCGGTTGTCTACAAGCATCGAGCAGCCTAATGTGTTTTCTTCTATGTAAGAGATATTGCACAAGACTACTTGAACATGGAAACAGACACACTCGGGACAATTCCCTTTCTAGCAAAATGCGGGGGGGGAATCACAACATATCCACAAAGGCACACCACCCCGCCAAAGGAAAGTGCCATGCCCATCTGTTTCACTGGCATCTGCCAAAACATGTTTTGACACTTGTCCGCTGATTGTCTAGTTTCAATCTCCACGGCATGTTGTGCCTGCAAGTACCCTGCCCCTGTTCAACTGCAAGTGAAGGTCTCGGTGTATGCATTACGCCTGCAGAAGGTACAAAAAGTCTGGTAATGTCTTTGCGTCTGATGGCTGGAGTTGGTGGGAGCCATCTACCAAGAGAAAGGCCAAATCTGAGAAAATCGAAACGACAAAACAAATTATAACAATAATCATCATCATCAGAATTCCAAGATAAAGATTCTGGGCATGCCAAGACATTTCCACCAGTACTTTCTTGTTTTTGGGTTTGGTCGAGATATTGTGCGGCTTTGCAAACAGGAGGCTCTTCAGGATGCCCAAAAACATGTCGCTCTCGATTTGTCTGCTGTGATTTCCCTCAAAGATTCGTGCTTGGGGAAGTCCAAAAAGAAAATAGCAAAACAAATCCCAAACTATTTCCCTCAGGACAAATTGGGGGCATTTCAAGTTTGTCTCCTTCAAAGATGCGATTGCTTTCCGAAATGGAATGTTGTTTTGCCGTTGTTCGAATGCGTGATATACTCCCCCCATGCCTACTAAAGCACAATGATGAAGATAAACACTCAAAGAACTGCTCTCTGAAGAAAGGACAAAGGAGTGAACAAAAGCCGAAGCAAACACTCCCTGCGTTCGGCGCTAAGGCTAAGCCCTGCACAGGATTCCTGCGCACCGCTCGTCACGCCTGAAGCCGCGACATCACGATTGGACCATTGGAAGCGCAGTCTCTGCCGCTTCGCTCATTAGCCAAAGTGGCACCACGCACCCTTGTACTTGTTGTACATGAGCTCCCACCTGAGTCACAATCAAAACCCAGAAAAAAGTAAGGAAATACAAAGGGAAACTCCCATTGCCCCAGAGAGCAAAATGCCACCGTTGACGATCACAAGCAGGTCCTCGCCACTAGGTCTGCTGCTTGGATTGGTTTCCCGGCATGTACAAGAACGAGGCCTCCATCTTCACCCGGCCTTCCTTGGCAACGAAGTTGCCACTTGCAACAAGTGCAATGCACCGCCTTGCCGGTCATCCAGCTCATAGCTTCAAAGTGTCCACGCACGTCTGTGCACTTTTCACCTCATATTTTTGTACAGGCTGCGAATGCTTGCTAAGTGCAACAACCTTGAAAGGGGCATGGAAACCAGGCAATTGAGTGCCTCAGCGTTTTGACAACCGATACAGTAGATCATTGGCCTTTCAGAGAACCAGCATCACATCCCAGAGTTCATTGAAGAAAAGGAACGAAGAGGAAGAGAGAGCGAGAGAGAGGGAAAGAACAAGACAAAGCGAGTGAGAGCGAGAGAGAGAGAGAGACAGAGAAAAAAGAGAGAGAGAGAGAGAATGAAAAACAAAAAAGAAAGGGGCAGAGAATCAGAAAGAGAGTAAGATACAGCGTAAGCAAAAAGCGAAAGAGCAACAACAAAAGCAAGAGTAAGAGCAAAAGCAAGAGCAAGGGGTAATGCAAGGGCAAGAGAAGGAGGAAAAAAAATAAAAAATGAGAGAACAAGAGATAAGAAGAGAGAAAAAGAGAGTTAAAGAGGGAAAAAGAGAGGGGAAAAAGGAAAAAGAGCGAGGAAAGAGCGAAAAAGAGAGCAAGAGCAACAGCAAGGGGAACGTGAAGGGAAAGGGAAAGGGAAAGGGAAGGGGAAAGTGATGAAGGGAAGGCGGTAGGAAGGGGGGAGGGGAGTAAGGGGGAGGAGGCAGCGGGGGAGGAAGGGGGAGAGCGAAAGGGAGAGGAAGAGCCAGAGGGGGAGAGAGAGAGAGGGAGAGAGGGCGAGAAAGAGAGCGAGGGCGAGAAATAGATAGAGAGAGAGGGCTAGAGATGGAGAGGATGGAGAAAGATGGGGAGGAGACAGGGAAGGAAGGGAAGGTAAGGGAAGGGAAGGGAAGGGAAGGGAACGAGTCAAATAAGAAAAAATGAAAGTAAAGCTAAGTAGCGGGGCAAGACAGAAAAGCCAGGGCTCAGCAGCAAATAGGTCGATAAAGCCGGGTGAGTCACAATCAAACCCCGGTACTAAAATGGTCTACCCGGAACCATGTAAGGAATTAAGAAGGCGGCCGCAGCTATTTCTGGCTGGGATTGTCCCTTACCAATACCAACCTTCATCTATTTTGATTGTGGCTCAGGTGGCAGGAGCAATGCCATCTCTGCCGGCCAAAACATACTTTGCTATGACGGCTATCAGCGAGTAAGGCACTCGCTGCACAACAGTCAAGATGCAGTCTTCCCTGCCGGGAAGTAAACACCGTCGAAGTCCGAGAAGGAGCCCGGAAAAGGCACTGAGGCTGCAGTGACTGCCAACGGTGAATGCGGAGGGATCATGCAGCATTCCCAGAGATACCTGTACTGGGTCTTTGCCTGGGATCCGCTGCGCAAATCGACTGGCAGGCCAAATGCAGATGACACTATTAACTGCATTGCATCCAAGCTGCTTTTGATTCTTTCTCTTCCAAAGTGAAGCCAAGCAAAGCCTTCAACAAACTCCAGGTAGCCCGAGCAAGCGCATTCCGGGTGCGGCGTTTCGCTTTCTGAAAACATCGACCGCGCCTCGCTCTTGTGACACGTCATCCCAAGCTCCGTCAAGGCCGTCAAGGATCCGGCAGCTGAAAGCTCGGTCGTTATCCAGGGCGTCGCGTCTCCTGTCACGTTGCAAAGCCGAGAATGTCAAACTCTGAGCCCGCGGCATGCCCTCAAAGCAAAAGGAGGCCACGGTCAATATCGGCCGAAAGGCGTGTGGGACGTGAGAAATGCCCCACATTCCGCCCTCTTCCGCCCTCTTCCTCCCTCCCCTACCCCTCTGCGGGGCAAGGGAGAAAGGGCAAGGGCGAGAAAGGAAAAGGAAAAAGCAAAGACAAAACGAAAGATGCCCAAACCGATGCAGCCGCACCAACAGTGAGTGTGATCCAGCAAGAGCGGTCACAGCTCAGGAGAGTGGTGGACATGGGCATCTGAAGAGAGCTGGTACTATTTCGGTTCGCAACATCTGACCTCATGAAAGCGAGGCCATTGGTGGCGCGATTCCATCGGTCATCCCAACAACCATGGTTGGACATACCTGCGCCTGAGGATACACCCAGTCAGTATGAAGCAATGAGATGTGTCCATTTCGAACCGTTGGGGATGTCAGCCCGTCAATGAAGATTGGAGGACGGGGAGCTGGTATTTGTGCACGCCACATAGCAGTTGACATATCGAAGAGACTCGGCAAAGCGCTACGCCATCACACCGAACAGAGATGTCCAGGGAGGGATTCATGGTTCGCGGGGTCAACATTGATAGGGTCATTCTTAGCGACTGCATATTTTGCCGGAACTTCGGTAGGCCGTCTGGTACAATGCCATTATCAAGCTGATGATGCATCAGTCAGGCATCAGGCACCCGGGAGAAGAACAAGATACCAGATCCTAGCTTTTCGATTGAATGGGGACCTCGACACTGGATCGGGCCGACCTCATCCGAGCAGGATGGCTGTCTCACATCGTCGACAAAGCACTGAACGACCATCGACGCTGGTTGCAATCGCACGCGGGGTTCCTTCCTTTGGCAAGGTCCACGCGAGACATATGTACGAATAATTAATTTGCTTGGCTTCGTTTGTTCAGATTCGTGTGATGCGTAGACAGGCAGTTGGTACAACCCTGGCTGATACTTACCGCGTGTGACGCCGGTAACAAGTGGGCCAACAACACGAAGAAACGAGGTCAAAGGATTTCAGAGCCCTTTGTTGTTTACGCAGGGGAAACCAGTGGAAACCAGGCAGTTTAGAAGGCAAATCAAGCGGCACTGACCAATCCAGGCAGCTCCTGTGCAGCCCCCTAATCCAACGATTTTGCAGCACCTGAAGGCGTATTGAAACCTCGGCGATCATTAAACAAATCTGTGAGAAGCTCCTCTTCAAAATCCGAACACCCCCAAACTCCTCGGGATGTTCTTGGCATTCTGCTTTTCTCAACCAAGAAGGGGACCCGGAAAACACCCCCCAAGATGAGGATTGTGGACTGCGACAAGCTCCTTTGCCTCCGCAACTAAGGCTGGAACCCATGTTGGGTGGGCTGGGGCGAACACTTCCTGAACCTCGGATTCCAAGAACTGTATTTCAATATGTGAGCCACTGTCACGAAAACGAGCTTCCCGCCAAGGACATGGCAAAAACAGAAAGTGCCGTGGCTTTTCGTGGCTACGGGTATGTCTTATTTTCAGGGACACCAAAAAAATGTGGTTTTCCTCTGGGTTTCCCCTTCTAAACCGCCTCAAAAACATGCAAAAAGAAAAAAGTGGTACCCTCAATCTTGGACAGACCCATACTTAGGGAGTCACCAGTCTTGAGAAACCCCAAAATTCCATTCCTTTGGACCGTTCTGCCGTGGGGCTCGATGGTGCTGATGGCCTCACCAGACTGGCACCACACGTTGTGCAGCTGCAGGTCTGTCATCTTCTGGTCAGGACTGCTTTTACATTCCTCGGATCGCCGGAAGTGTTTGCTCTCTTGGGATGTTCTAAATTGGTTCGCACAAATGTTGGACATCCGGAAAGCTGGCTGACCATACATGGCTGTGGGTCAAAAATGGGTACCTGAAATGGAACCCTGGTAAATGGAACCCATGGCCAAAACAGGCGCTCCGCTCGTGGTTTAATTTTGACCCACACCCACATACGTTCTTACATTGGAGGCAGCTCGGCCTCCGCGGATCACACTTGGGGAGTTGCCCACGCAGGATCCGCAAAAAAATGCCTCCGGACTTGTGTTTCGAAGCTCGCCATGGCGTCAGAGGCTCGGTGGTCACTGCCCGACATTGCTCAGGCTTTATGGCCACTTCCACCCGGCGAGACGTTGGCCTGGACTCGAACCCGTAAAACGTCAGCAAACGCACCTCCTTCCTCACCGCCGCTCAAGAGAAGTACACCAAACAAAGTGAAGTGCCTGTGCGGTCAAAACAAGGTACCCAGGTTGGGAACCCCGGACTAAAACCTGTGGTTGGTGGCTTGAAGCTTGACCTCAAGGAAACCCAGCCTGAAGCTCGATTCTGTGCTCCGCAAGCCCAAGCTCGTCAATAAACGGCCTTCATGGCCAATGGGCCCCTAGGCGGAGCCCGGCTGCCTAGCTGCCCAGCTGTTGAGAAGGGAACAAAAATTACCACGCGTCTTAGAGAAGGGGACCCGGCAAATGGCGGTGTTTTCCCTTTGGTTCCCTTGTTTTTTTGGTTTCCTTTCGTTTCCCTCCAAGGCAACCCAGAAATGGCGCCCATTTTCGTGCAAGAAATCATCTCACTAGAAACTCGCGGGCTGCCAGGGAGCTGAAGAAGATAAAATGTCCATGAAGTTCTTGACATTGGAGTCTCGCTGCGCGTGTCCGACCAGGGCTGCAGTGAATGGCCTTCGCTTCATCGTACTGCCAACGCCACTGGCAAATCCGACGAATCACACAGACTACGTTCCCTCAGACTAACATGGAAGCTCCAGAAGGCCTCTGTAAATGGAACCAAGTCTTCCAAAGGGGTCCTGGGAGCTTCCATGTTAGCCTGGGGGAGGGTAATTGCCAAGCAGCTTGCAACTGGTGCCTGGGTCACCACAGTTGTACTCCTTGTCTCCAACGTCTCCAGTCCAGCGGGCAACTGCCTCCTGTCAGCGTCAGCACTCGCTCAATATTCCGGCAAAGAGAACCCGTTGCAACATTCGCTATCAGAAACCAACCAGCCCCTCCCCTTTGGAGTCTGGCGAAAAGAGGTCGCCTAAACCATCTTTTTAAGTGGTTTGTCAGAAGGCCCGGAGTTCATGTAACCCTTCATTGGTGGTTTGGACTGGTGGTTCGGGTTTGGATTTGCACCCCTGGTTCTTGCAGAGAGCAAAAGAGAAACCACCGCGATTCACCAAACCACAAACTCCAACTCTCCAACCACCAATTAGTGGGAAGCTGAGCCCTGCGGGGGACCCAATTTGGATGGGGGAAAAATGCATTGGTGAAATGACTTCACCCAACCATTTGGGTGTGGCTCAAAATTAAACAGGAGGGGTTACGCAGGGTGTGGTCCATGTACCGGTTTTTGAGCCACAGCCATTTTTTCGTGGTAAGTAAACCCCCGGATGAAGCCAAGTCCTGAAGGCCTTTCTTCGCCAGGGCTTGGCGCAGGAAGCCTTTGCCACGCGAAGAACCGCAGGGCTCCAAGACGCCCGTCAAGGCGTGAGCACAGCGACCGCCCCCAGTCTCACCCACAAACTCCTCGGTTCGTCGGGTGCGGCTCCCCACGCAAGGACCAGCACCTGACCCAACGCGCAGACGTGCAAAAACCAGGCCTGTAACACAGCGCCCGAGACCCATCGGCTGTTTGCTTTTCTTTTTCTCCTCCTATGCGGAAAGAAGCAGCCGGGAGCGTCAACCGGGCACAGTGAAGCTGAGATTCCAACACAGTTCGATCTGGAGAAGCTGTCACTGCTCGGAAGCGCCAGCCATCTTTTGTACCACCTCTGCATGGGCCCCAGCCAGCCTTAGCAAAATGGGGCCCAAGTTGGCTCCAGTGCACTCAGGCAACATCTCGACGCGGGCAAGCAGAGCAAGCAGAGCAAGCAGAGCGCACTCCCGGAGCCTTCTGCGGGACGGCGATGTGGATCGAATCAGGTTGACACGTGAGCCCCTGAGCACGGCGTGACGTGGACCCCCCCCCTTCGGCCGTGTTGCAAGCAGGCCACATGCAGCTGGAAAGTTCTCCGCGCCGCGGTAGGATCCAAGTTCAGATGGAGCTCCTGAGCCAGGAGCTTCGGCAACATGCCCCACTGACCCTCAAGCGCCCGTGGGGTGGCCTCCTGCCAAGCAGCATGGGTGGTGTTGCCGGCGACACCCTGCGCCTGCATCATCTTCCACAGGCCCAGGAAGCACGGCCCAGAGTGCAGCTTCAACTTCGCAATGACCTACCGGAGAAAGAAGTCGCACTACGTCCCCAGGCCACTCACTTACCTGGACCTCTTGCGCAACGCGCGCACCACGCGCTCATTGCCATAACTTCCGTGTTCCAGCTGCCTCTGTAAAGGTCTCAAATGGCTCAAGGGGTGCCTTGCGTAAGTTCGCCGTCATTCCCCCAGCCGAGAACCAAAAAGCCACCTCGGTGGCTTTCCTGTTCCCTTTCAACCCACCCAAAAACAAGGAAATCCCTCGAAAAACACACACACACACACACATGTCATGTCTTCTGGTGGTTCTATAAAACGTCGCCTCTTTGGTATTTTTGGGTGACTTTCCATCCACCGCCTGCACCGTCTCCACAGTGCCCGGCAGGCTGAAGTTCCAGGCAAAGGCCCCGTTCTCGAGTCGAAGCGGGCCGAAGCAAACATGTCCCATGGAAGGAATTCCCTGACATTTGGGTGTGTTGTGATTGATTATCTTTGTCTAATGAGTGAGACCCTCCAACAGGCTGTTCCTTTCTCCCTTCAAAACCCACCGAAAATTCGTACCCTCAAAAAGGGACAGACCCATTTGGGGATTTTGGTCCGGGTTTTGATTCAGCTTGGCGCCGGGTACTTTCTGCCACGCCGCGAGACTGCAGCTGCAGGGCTTGATGGTCTCTTCGCAGGGGCAAGTGCCATTCGTAGTATTTGGGCCATTCCTCACAGCTTGCTTGGTGACTCGGAAACCTGGTCGACCTTGCTGGTGAAAGGCTGGAATCTGGCTGTGAGACTGACCCCAGACACGTGATGATCAGGAGCCAAGCACTCCTTGGGTCAACGCCGCCGCACTGGAAAAAACCAGGCCGCCTGACATGACGGCAAGCCCGGTGCTGCCAGGCCACTCCCCGAAAGTTGCGGATGATCTTGCCAAAATGATGCTCCCACCATTCGGACCTGAGCCCATTCGGCGGCTTTTGCTGGGCATGATGCTCCCGGCTTGACGAGATTCTACAAACAACCACGCAACCTGTTGCATGGGTATGCCACACCGAAGCAAGACCCCAAAAAACAGATTGGCTCACCCCTTGGCTTCACTGCAAAACCAACCCAAAAGGGGTGCCCGCACGGAAAAAGGACTCGGCCGCATGGCGCGACAATGCCTGTGCGGGGCGAGCCGCTCTTTCCCAGAGTTCCGATTTTGAGTAAGGCTCTTGTCGCCAATCTTCGTGACACGAGCACCCTTCTCCTTTGCTCGGCAGCAATGGTAACCCCGAATGAATGAGCCCTTGGCTGATTCTGATCATGGGGGTACCACCTGGTTGATGGAATTCTTCACTTTACCCTGCTAGTCGTAGGATGGGGATCCGGGGTTCCCATTACATGGCCATCGCTGCGCGCAAACTGTGCGACAAGCTCGTCACAGCGCGTGTCACAACACTCATTGAGCCGAGGGCGCACAAATAAAATTTGTCATAGACTCCTTCTGAAAGCTGTCCACCCATCTGCCATCAACACATGTCATCGCATGACGGCCGAGAAGCTGGCTGCCTCGCGGCTGGCTACTCGCTCACTGGCAGGCCGGCATAGCATCACGTGTGAGGACTTGAGTACTGGTCTCATGCATGTCACTAACTTTCTCTCGCGTTCCCTCTCTCGCTCTCTGTCTCTCTCTCTCTCTCTCTGTGGCTCGCTCTCTCTCTCTCTCTCTGTCTCTGTCTCTCCGGTTCTCTCTGGTTCTCTCTCTCTCTCTCTGGTAAAGAGAATTCTATTAGAAATTGTTCTTGGCAATCCTATCTCTTGGTCTGTTCCTTTCCTTTCATCACCTATTTATTAATTTGTATTTTTGGAATCTCTCTGTGGTCCTCCATCTCTCCGTCTCTCACTCTGCCGCACCGTCACGGGCCATCGCGCGGTATTTGTCTGCATCACAGCTGACCGCCACCCCGCGGCCAGGCATGAACCTCAAGTCTCAGCCCGAAATCCTCCTCACAGCCAAGTAATGCTTGGACCCCGGATTCAGAAGGCCCTATGTATTAACATGGGGGGTGGGGGGTGGGGCCCCCAAAAGTGCTAAACCCCCACCACAACCAAAAACACCACCATCCTTGTTCAACATTGATCAACCCCAGCTTTTTATTGGGGGGGGTATCCATTTCTCGGTGACATGTGCACCACTTTTGGGGGGCCCCGCACCTACTAATAGACTGGAGTTCATCAATCCTGCAGCTGAGGTTCATCGATGGCAAGGGCCTGCGCTCAGAAATATACATTGGGTCCGCGTATAGGCAGGATCCACCTGAAGCTGCGGTTTTCCCCTGGCAGAAAAAAAAACGCTTTGGAAAAATTGATCGATTTCCCTGGTAAATGGAATGAAACCCATCTAAACCAGTGCCGTCCATGTTTAACCAATCTAAACAAGGACACCTATGTTTGCAACTTTTGCGCCGCTGCAAACAAAGTATCAGATCTGTTGCTCCAAGGCTCACTCGGTGATAGTTGCTACGCCAGCAACTATGAGTCGATCACAGTCCCGGACCACCTCCTGAACAGCACTAAGCGGAAAAACAATGGCAATTTGCTTAAAAAACTGATGCAAGCTGCATACTGTCTCAAATGGCGCTTCTTGGACTCAACCCTTGGGACCTTTTTTGCAGAGGCAAACTCCTCGAACCGGCAGGGAATGCTGCCCGCAGCAGATTGGGTAGAATAACCTGATCGAAATTCTGCACCTGAGGGTTCTTCACAGCCAAGAGTGCCAGCGAACCCGCCCGCCCCCCCCCCCCACACGGAGGTTGGTACGGTGTTGGTATGGGTTTATGGGCTTGGTAGGTGTTTGTTAAAAAACAGAATCCTTTATTTTGGGGCATGACCTTAACAATGCCAAAACCTTTGAAGCATTGAGATCCACTCCACCAGACAGCAGTGAGCATCACTGAGCATCACTCGTCACTTGAGCCTTACTAACATGTGGTCGCATTGTTCAACGAACACAATACGCAGCTTCCACAACGGAACGTCTTAGCACCGCCGATTACGTTCGGTGCAATATGCACAAGGCCGAGGATCTCGGCGTGCGGGCTCGCGCGTGTTGTGCCCCCTCCCACTGCGATGAAAGTGCGCAACACCCCTTTCATCCTGGGGCCTGTGCACCTTCCATGGCTTGTGGTAGCTCCCTGGCTTGAAGGGGGGACCGTCGCGGTGGATAAACCGCGGTGTCGTTCTGGCACATGCGACGCCGGTTTGGACTCTTTTGCTGGAAACGCACGCAAGCTGCTAAAAGCACGGAGTCAGCAAAAACACCAAGAGCCATCAAAGCGAAAGATTGCCACTCCCCCCCCCCTCCCTCCATTGCTTCGCGCCGCGCAAAAGAAAGCTTCTACTTGCCAAGTCACGCTTCACAGTATTCCAACATCTCTGGGAGTTGGCAATTGCACATGATGGCGCGTAAGACACGCCATACCTGGGAGAGGACATTTGAAATGGGCGTCGAGTCAACCAAATCCCGACAAGGGTGCGGAACGATTCTGCCACAAAGAGGGCCAAGCACATAAACGCGTCGCTGACGTTCTGACACATTCATGGCCCTCACTTTGACTTCAGCTGCTGTTTGCCAGCTTGGGCGCAGAATACCGTGGGAGTTGCTTTCTAATTCCAGGTAGTCGCACTTTGAATAAAGCCGGCACGCCTGCACCGCATGCTCCCGCTCAGCTCGGCTCAAAAAACGGCTCTTCCAAAAGTAGGTTCAGTCCTGCTGGCCATTGTATTCGCCAAACCAGTAGTAGAGCTTGCCACTTTGCGTAGCAATCAGTGAGCAATCCTCCTGAAAGGCTTCCATGCTAGCATCTACCCTCCTGTCCACCTGCGCCATGTTTTCCTGACGTTTCGGGGTCCCGGTTTGGACGTCATTTTCCTTTAAAGTGGAGCCTCTGGCGGGTTTCATGTGGACAGCAGTGTATGGCATCTTCGCTAAGGTCGCTGCCGAGGTGAGCCCGAGCAGTACTTCCTGAGTGACCGCCCTCTCATTCGCCCAATGACTCCGCACAGAAAACTGAAGAGAAAAAAAGCACCGACCGACCTGCCAGGTGTCTTCCAAGCTGAGGAAGTTGCACGAGACACTTCCTGGGGTATGGGTTATAGTTCTTGTTTCTGGAGTACCCTTTTTGGTTGGCTTTGAGAAAACCCAAAAGAAAACGAAACCGCTGCCATTTTGGGGGGTCCAACCTCAAAGAAGACAACGGGCAAGGCCCACCCAACTCAAAGCTCCGATGAAGAGTCGATGCCCTATGCCCGCCCGCTCCTTCAGCCAGCATCTGCGGTGCTGGTACAAAACTATTTCCAGACCCTGGTGGTATCAGCTCGATAGTTGTGGCCAGAACTGGGAAAGACTCGCCGAATTCCTGCGCGCGAAAGGAATTCTTGGCTATCAATTGCGCCATCCTAGCACAGCCAGTTAACACAATCAATTAGGGGAATCAGCAAGCCACAAACAGGGATCCTTACATTCTACACCTGAACATTGCCTTGATTGTAAATGGTGGTGTCCTGTTATTTTGGTGGAAAAAGCCAAGTTTCAAATGGTTGCAAAATGGAGATCTTTTAAGGAGCCCTGACAAACATGGTAAGTAAGTTAGATTGCCCTTGGCTCAGGTACCCTCGGCTGGGCTAAATGACATTGAGAAGCACATGCTTCTGCCGGCTGTCCTCAGATGGGCATTCACACACGCCGATGGAATAGTCGTCCTCAAAGGTCCCATGGCTCAACGATCTCAAGGCAATGCGTACCAAGAACCTTGTTGCATGACGCATGATCTGTGTGTCACCAAAACGGTCACTGTTTCATGGGTCATCTCTGGGACCCCACATCCCAACCGACCGCCTAACCCGTCCTTCATGCCGGTGGACTCATCATCGAATCTGAAGACCTCCTGCGCCGCTGCCTTTCCAGGGGCTGTGGATGCACTTCTGACGCGTGGGCCCCAGGAGGGAAACCAACAAAAACATCGGGGCGCCCTGGACGGGGCAAAGCGCAGTCCAGTGGCTGGATCGGAAAGGTCATCTTCGATCTTCAGGAGCTTCATGTATTCCTCGCCTCAGTGAAGCGAAGCGAAGTGAACCCGCGACTTGGCTGTCCCTTCGTCGGACGGGTCGCGTTCCACCAGGGGGTTCTTGCAGGTTGCCACTTTGATCTGAACGAAGGCGGAGGTGACGGGAGCCTGCAGTGCGTCGGCTGTAGCCTTGAACTCGAACTGCAGGTCTCCTGTCTATGAACATGAACCCGCAAATGGCAAAGAAGAAAGGCAGGCATCCAAAACTCCTTGGAAGAACACGGACTGGAGCAGGTCCGTAGTGATACAAAGCAGCACATCCCCCCGCAGCTCAACCACGGCAGCGCGCTGATCTGTGGAATCCTGCGAAGCGTGAAGTATAGTTGTTATGGTTACCAGGTACCAGGTCAGCATCCAACCATCTGAAGGTTTGTTCTGCCTGGCAAGGAGACAAATACAAACGCTTGAGTGGATAGGTAACCGGTCCTCATGCTGATAAACAAAGGACAGCTGAACATACTTTCGTGAAGAGGAGCAAGCAAGAAACCGGCGGTTGCATGTTGTTTCTCCCGAAGACACAAACCACCGACAAAGAAACGTGTCCGTTCCAACTGTGAGCGCCGGAACAATACTTCTCAGGCATGGTTCGTAGCTGCCTATTGCCTTGAAGCAAGGTTCAACTTGTTGGCATGAATCACTGAATTGATCACATGGATGCCTCGTTTGTGAAAGTTCAAGCCTTGACAGATCAACTCTCGAGTCGTTCGTGATCGCCACACACAAGCCATACGACATCCGAGACATCCCCCTGCGGGCTCAAAGCTTATGGATCCTGGCGCAGGCATCGTCACACACTGGCTCCCATGTAGGTCCAATCAACGGACACGCTGACAAGAAGGCCTGGATGCAGTTGTGGCTACCTGACGATCTTCCACACAAAATGGCACGCAGTCTTTTATTCAAGATGCGCGGAAGGGCACGTCTCCTGCAGCACGTCCATGGGGGAGAGCCGCCGCAAGATCCACTTGGGATTGTTTCCGCAAGATTGAACTGCCTCGACATCTCGGCCGGCGTGCACCTTGTGGATGAAGAAGCTGGCCTCACGCAAGCTGTGACCGACCATGGGTAGAAGTCGCGAACATCATGGCTGCGGCTCGAGGGCGGGTTACGTCGAATCTTTCGGCCATCACGCCTCTGGGATAGGGCCTTCGTGGGCAAAGACCGGGAACCCCCGATCTCGAACATGACCAGGGCAGTAGTCACCTGAGGCACCCTGTTTGCACTTGAGGTCGGATGAAGCCCAGAATGGAAGAGATAGCCAAAATGCAGAAGGGATAACTATTCGTGCCTTTGTGCTTGGGAGGTGAGTAAAAGGCACTTGCATTCCTCTGCCACCTCCATGAGCCATCCCTGGGCAAGCGGCCAGAGATGTAGGAGCCGCCAGGAATATCCAGCTGCAAGCACCGCGACGACAAGATGCAGTCGTTGACTTTCACCTGAACCTGGCCGACTTCCAAAAACCACACCTCACACCTCATGCATATTGTACATGGGCCTTAGAGCCGGCAGCTGTCTTCTCAGCCGCGTCAGCCTGTCCAAAAAGCCCTCAAAATCCCAAACTATGAGCCAGGCCATGTAAACTCAGGCGTCGCCTTGTACCGCAATAGCACGCAGGTGCCCCCAAAAACATAGGCCGCACAGGACTTCTTCATCCTGCAGTCCATGCGGCACCTCAGCTCTGAAACCAAAACTGCTCCCCCAGGAAATGCTCAGTTCATCCAGCTGGCGCCACGGTCGTGGCAGCCGACGTCCTCTCAACCTGAAACGGGCGCAAACAACTGCTACATGCAAAAAACCTGCGGTGCCCCTGTGTTGTCGCTTCTATCTCCAAACCACCTCAACTCCACCCTCTCCAACACACCCTAAGTCTCCACTCCAGCCCAACTCCCCAACTCCCCAACACCAACCCTGCCACATTGACCAACTGCACCACCATCTTCCATTTCCTCCCAACCTCCACCGTTGCCGCCGTGTTGCCACTTGATACTTGCCTTCACCTTCAGCCCAGCACATGTTGTCCCAGATGTCCACATCAAAAGTGGTGGACACCAGCTGTTTGGAACTCTGCAGCTCGGCATAGACCTCCGACTCAAAGACTCCACGAAAGGCCACGGGTGGCTTGGTTCCCAACACGCAAACAATTGGGTGGCCCTTGGCCAAACAAAAACAAATGATCACACCTGGAACGCCGCACATAGGTCTGTCTATGAGATTAAGTTAGCTTTCGCGAACAAAAGAACCATGCCGTTCATATAGTCTGGGCTGTTCAAAATGGAGGGTTGGCCAATCCTAATCCATAATCCCTATAGGAAAGCCACTACAAAGGGAACCCCTTGCGTAACCCCGGGTAAGGATTAAGGATTACCTTTGAACAGCCCAGATAGTGTCTACATAGTGGGGTACACATGCCATGAAACCACTGCAGCAGCTGGACCTGCTACGCTGACCCCTACAAACCATCCCAGTGATGAAAGTCCCCTCCAGGCTTCTCCACTGGCGCAAACTCCTGAGAACCATCACTCAGTTGTTCAGTGACCCTGGAAAAAAAGGGAACCCTTTTTTGGGAAGACCATTTTAGTGGGGCGCCACCCCCCAAAAAAAAAAAAGGAAAAGGGAGCCACTGAACAACTGAGATCAAGCAAGCAGAAAAAAAACAGCCTCTGTGCTTGGCACCGGAGAAACGGGTTCCACTTTTTGACTACAGTGACACTTAAACCTGATAAATGTGGTTCCCAAAAGGAGGACCACCCACAATTTTCGCCTTGGGGTAGTCAAAAAGTGGGATCCTTGCACAACCCTACATCAAGAAACTAAGCAACCCAGGGTTGGTGGGGATTTGAACCCCTGGTTGTAGAAATGGGAAACAACCCCTTACCCTCCAAACGACCGGGCTCCAAACCACCAATTCGAGGGAAGCTGACTAATGTTGACCCCATATTCGCCTCCAAAAGCCATGAGTCCCCACTAAACCCAGAAATGAACACCCCCCTATAAATAAACTGGTATTGGTTCAAGGTTGATGCATGTGGGGTCAACATTACATGGCCTTCCCGGCCAGTTTCCACCGAAAAATCAGACGGGTCCGGGCCTTGCACGTGAAGCTCACCTTGCAGCGCGGCTCCTTGCCATCGCAGTGCTCCATGATGCCGGCGCTGGGCGCTCCGGCGATCTGGTTGAAGTGGTCCAAACGGAACACCTCACTCATTGGAGACTCCCAGAAGGGAAAAAAAAAAAACGAAGGGAAGACCCGAGGCGTCACAATGGTGTGTCCCTCTTCTTTGTTTTGGAGGGACCAATACATAATGGTGGTTTTCCGGTTGGTGTCCCTTTGGAACCATGGGGTACCCTGAAACATGACACAATATGGATTCGACATTTCAAAAATCAAGTGCGACCAGTCCTCGTGGCCCTTGTAGAAGACGGTTTGGATTGTCTCATCGTGCGCCTTCAAGAGAGTACAAACCCCAGATGTGAAAGACAACGTTCGCCATGCGACCATTGCTCATGTTCTTGAGTGTCTCCAGTATGTCAGACACAAACTACACAAACAGGGAAGTGCTAACTGTTAGGGCAGGCAGAAACGGCTTTGAAAATACGATTGTCACCTGGTTTGCTGATTCATGTCAACATCACACTTGTCACGTAGAAATGATCAGGAAGGTGGTCCAAATTAGTCCAAATTAGTTGCCTCGCGAGTCGTGCGATTTGCATCCGTGACGCAGCTGTTGGCACAATAGTGGACACTGCATCCAGGTTCCGATTCCTTATAAACGAGCACTTATAAAGTGTAGAACTTGTGAAACCCTCAATTTCCATGGTTTTCAAGGTTTTACATTTTCTACACTGACCAAGGTGTTTGCAAAAAAACGAATGGTTGGACCGCTGATGACTGATTTCTACGCCACCAAAGCAACGAAATCGATTGACACAGCGCCACGCGGCCGGATGCGTTGCAGATCTCTCTTACACGGGATGCCCAAAAAAAAGATGAGCAAGTGTACAGGTCCATGAGCAAGAAAAACAAAGAGTCATTTTGCCAGCGAACTCATTCATGGCAAAAATGCCCATTTCAATCTTAAGCCTGCCTGCGAAGCCAACATCATCTTGTCTTTGGCCACGTAGGAACCACAGGAACCAAATGCAACACTTGGGGGCACAACCAGCGCAAACAACACTGTAGGAACCACAGGCGCCACCAGAGCTTTGTTTGAGCACGTTGGCACAGCTCGCATGCAGCAGTGGCGCAGTGTCGTTGCCGCAATCAAAGAAGAAGGCTGATGGCTTCTCCTAAGTGCAACTCATGGCACGAGTTTGCCCACCGAATCGCACGCCTGTGTTTCCAGGAGCCTGTCAGGCGAGAATCTGACATCTCCCGCTCCAGGGCTGACAGTGCTGGCACCAATGCATAGTCCGGGACCTGGTGGCGAGTTACGACCCGCTGGACCGCCAAGTTGAGGTTGCACCCAAGCCGGACAAATGAATCCATGCCTCTTCGCCGACCGTCAGTGACACGAGCGCAACCTGCTCGTCTGGGTTCATGCGGTGCGTCAGGAACCTCGTTTTGACGCCACGAACTTGAATGCAGGAGGCCTGAAGTGTGTAGTTGGCAATCATCTTGAGTACATCATGGCATGTTTGGAGCCAAACCATCACATCCATCGTCCAAGGAGCACAGACTTGGGCTCAACAGGCGCGTGCAGGGCCAATTCGATGGTATCGGTCTCATTCATACCTGCAGCTGCCCAAACGTCAGCACACGCCTTGTTGAAGGCATCTGAGTCATCTGAGCATTCAGTCAGCCTGTGACCCAAGTGCCCGGCATGTTGCTGGAGTGATTGTTCCATTGCCTCAATGGCACAACATGTCACCTCGCCGTCGACTTGCCAGCTCACCCGGTGACAGAAATTGCCTTTGCTGATCTGTGCGCAGGAGACACGATGCAGCTGAGTCGCCCAGGTCTGCCTCACACGTGCGAATGTCTAGTCCGAACATGTGCGCTGTCAAGCGGGTGTCAGCTTCATTCTAGCGAGGGATTTGGGGAGTGTTGATCTTGGGAAAACTCTCTTGCCAATGCAACAGTCGGGAACTTGGGATCCACCACCCCCACCCACCCCCCGCCCACCCCACCCCCAGCCCACCCCACCCCAGACCACCCCACCCCACCCCAGACCACCCCACCCACCCCACCCCCACCCACCCCACCCCCACCCACCCCACCCCACCCCACCACCCCACCCACCCCACCCACATGTCGAGGTTCCCCGGGAGTGCAGATTTGGCGGTGACCATTCACCGTGCAGGTGGCGAAGCGCGGCTTGAAGTCGGAGCCTTGCACCGACAGGCGACCCGAGCCCGGGTCGATGGCCAGCCTCAGATCGGCCAACAAAACGTCGATTGTTTTTACCTCACACAAAAACAACCCCAGTTTATTAATAGGGGGTGTTTGAGGGGGCCCCACCCTATCAACCAACTGGGGTTGATTATTATGGGGTCGACGTTGGGGCTTGTTCCCCTCAAGTGATGAACCCTACAAGGGGACACCCCCCATCAAAATCGACCAGATGATCAATCCGGGGCTTGGCAAATGATTAGAACCAAACTGGCACCAGTGTGGAACCCATCTATTTTCTGCCATGAAGGACGCCGTGACTGCCAACCGGCTTTAAGTCAAGGGGCCAGCTGACTGTGGGGGTGCACAGCATAGAGAACTGCGTATATTGCAGCGCGGTCTGCACCTCGTAGGTCCTGAGGGATATGCATACACTGCGATTCACCCATACATGGCACCCAGAAAGGTCCCCCCAAAAGGAGATTCACCCGAAAATGATGCTTGTCTGGGTCCCATGTGAATGCATAGGGGCAATCAAAGAGTGCCTGTAAAAAACTGCCTTGCCAAGCGTCCGGGTGAATGGAGACAGAGCCTTTGTGCCGTACGTAAACGGATCCTTGGCTGGATGGCTGGCCTTGTGCCAAAGATATGCAACGTCGGCACCTGTGACTGCACACCAAGCGTCAAGTTCCAGCTTCAGTGGAGCCTGGAAGCTCTGCCAAAAACTCGCAACGAACGAAATGGGGGGGGTCGTTTTTTTAGGGGACCCGCAAAATCGTGGTTTTACTGTTGGTTTCCCTTTGAATCCAACCAACACAAGGGGTTCCCCGAGAATTAAAAAAAAAAAAAGACAAGGCCTTCACGCACCAAACCACACGCTCGGTTTCTTGGCATTTGTGCCTTGCTCTCCTGGCCGATGCTGTTGTGGGCCAGGATCTCGCATTCCAACTTCACGGGATCAGTCGAGGCCACGGTGCCTGCGGCGAAAGGGACTGTCTGGCGGCAGGTCGAAACCGGCGGCCCGGCTGCAATGAAAAGATGCGAAGACCGAAACTCCCCTCCGCAGCGACACGTGCAGCACCCTCCTGAGATGACGCCAGTGGTAGGGTCCAGCTGCAATCCAATTCCTGCCGCTTCGCGCTTCGCAAGGCAGGGATCGTTTGCAACCCCATGTGATGCCCCATACAAAGCTGGGTGCATGACAGCCCGGAACACGGTCCTGCAAATCGAGACACCAAAGCGTACCCTTTTAAGAGCTCCTTGGAATTGCCTCAAAGACGGGAAACACCAACTATCAAAATAGGTGATGTCCCTGAAGGTAAACAGCAACAACAATTTCTTGTTTAGACAACATTTGGGGATTTGAGCCCTTGGTTCTTTTAGAGGGCAAATGAGAAGCCACACCCGTTTTCTTTCCCCACTCCAAGCCACCAACAAGCTGAAAAAGCAGGGCGAAAAAAGAGTTCCGAACCCAGCTGCACCCATCCAGACAGAAGCTCGACCCGCTCCGTGAAGGTTGCAGCTCTGCGAGGAGTACTCGGAGGCGGTGCGGGGGCGAGGGCGCCAGGTGCAGTGGAAAGCCCAGGGCCAAGGTCTGCGCCTGCCGAGTTTGAAGATTCGAAGCTCCGTTCAACTTGTGGCCTCTCTGAAATAATGTCGGGCGGCAAGCAAAAAGTTCGGGGAGTGCGGTGTTGCAACGCTGACTGCTACACGAGAAAGCTTGAAAACGCCACTGTCCCGAGAAAAAAAAAGGGAAGTCCCAGCGAATCACGACACGACTGCAATGTGACCTTCCAAGGTCGCACAGGCTACACTCACGCACTCACTCCACCCCGCTCCGCTCACGCAATCACTCACTCTCACACTCTCGCGCTCTGCTGTCTCGCTCTCCCTCTCTCTCTGGCTCGCTCGCTCGCTCGCTTTGCTCTCTCAGAGCGGCAGGGTAGTCGAAAAGGTCCACCCCAGAAATGCCGCCTCCACAAACCTCGGATCCGAGTCTCAGGTGTCAGGCCACTTGCGCGCTCTGCTCCCTGCAGCCAAGTCTCACAGCAGGCGTCAAGGGCTGACATGCCTCGGTGTACCTCAGGCGGTTCTCTGTATCGTCCCAGTCCGGCGACCACTGCACCCGCCTCACCCGGCGAAACGCAGACTTCGACTCGTGACAAGGCGCCCAGCTCTCCGTCTTGCGCTTGAAGTCCTCCGGGGATGCCGCCGTCGCCGAGCCGTCCTTGCACCAGCCTTTCGTCTCATACTCGACACAGCTGCGGCCTGCAAAGAGTCCCAAAGACATTGCTCAGAAGAAAAAGATTCCATGCCCGCGCCACTTGTCTGTTCTACTACACCCCAGCATATGCGTGCGTGAGTGTAGGTGGAAACTCCTCTCGCTCCGCCAACCCCCGATTGGTTCGTGTCAACCGAGAAGGAAACGAACGGATTTCGGGGACATTGTGAGAAACGCCTCGGCCGGTGGCGTTTTGGGCGCTGCAGATTTCACGCGCGCCTTGACTGTCCGCCCACTGAAGCCTGAGCTGTGCAGCCGTGCGAAGTCCAAAGGCATGCCGCTCCTGTTCAATGCGTGTCTCCTGTGTCTCCTGTTCAATGCGTGCGCGTGGGCGTGGGCGTGGGCGTGGGCGTGGGCGTGGGCGTGGGCGTGGGCGTGGGCGTGGGCGTGGGCGTGGGCGTGGGCGTGCGCGTGCGCGTGCGCGTGCGCGTGCGCGTGCGCGTGCGCGTGCGCGTGCGCGGTGTGGGTGTGGCTGTGTATGTGGCTGTGTATGTGTATGTGTATGTGTGTGTGTGTGTGTATGTGTATGTGTGTGTGTATGTGTCTGTGTCTGTGTCTGTGTCTGTGTCTGTGTCTGTGTCTGTGTCTGTGTCTGTGTCTGTGTCTGTGTCTGTGTCTGTGTCTGTGTCTGTGTCTGTGTCTGTGTGTGTGTCTGTGTCTGTGT